TGCCATCACCACACCTGCCTTTTGGAGGGCCAGCTGCAGAGCTCCTGGTGCTGGACACTTTCCCCCAATGTGTCTGGGCACACACACACACCTGAAAAGCCAGAGATGCTGGTGTGGGTGTGGCACTTATCTGCAACCTGGTGTTTTGACCCAGCCTTAGCAGAAGCAAGAAACAGACTCCTTGTCACGAAAAACCGTGAGCTCCCAGCCAAAAGGCTGCAAATTAAGTTCTGGCAAGCAGTCTCTGTGGCAGAAAACACAATGAGCAAAATCTTCAGAAATATGAACTTTCCTTCTATTTATTCCCCAGCCAAGGAGGGCCATTCAGCGTTCACATGTGCTTTGCTTCCCGAGTCAACTCCTTGTCCTCCATTGTTCTCCTCTCCTAACAGCTCTGCACATACGTGCATCTGGAACAGGCCACAGCTATTCTTCCTCCTTACTCAGGTCATGGTTGTTCCAAAGGTGCTTTTTCAAGAGGTAACTGGACTTTGTTTTTTCTTTGAAGACGTTTCACTTCTCATCCAAGAAGCTTCTTCAGCTCTGACTGGATGGTGGGGAATGGAAGGAGACATTTAGCTATGCATTTTGGGATTACCACCCTTCATAGACTAATAGTTTTATTTAGCTTTTTATTCCCTATAGTGTCAAAAAGTTTTTGAGCTCCAATTCCTCTCTACCTTATTATTTAAGATTTGCCTTATTTATTTGATTGATCTTTATTAATCCTGTTCTTCCTTGATTTCTAATGTTCCATTCTTGTCCTTATTATTTGCCTATTTATTTATCTTTTATTTTCTGTCTTGTATTTATTTTTATTCTCTACCTGATCTTCCATCCCTTCCTATTGGGAGGATAGTTGCCTTCACTTTGGTGCCTTCACTTCCATTGCTGAATGTTGCCCAGGTTGGGCAGCCTCAGTGAAGGATATAGACAAACTAAAGATCCGCCAGTCTGTCTAGAAAACTTTTGTGTAATCCTTCTCTAGTAGTATTGACAGAAGAGAAGTGAAAATGAACATAATGCTTCATGCAGATGTAATCTGGTGGGCTATCACTTGGACAAAACAAATTGGGTTGCCTCCATGGTCCAAAGTGCTTTGTTGAAATAAATTTATATTGCTTTACATAAACCTGGTGGACATAAGACAGTGGGGGTTTCCATAGCAACTGTTTCTAATGAAAGGCTGACTTCAAGCAGAACATTTTAAATATTTTCTTGGATTTCCCTAGGGGTCCAGCTGGTCTGATTTTGAACAGATGATAATAAAAAGTGTTTAGCCTGTCAGTTAAATATGGTTGGTTATGGATGGAAAGGGTTAGGGTTTGTTGCTGTTAGTGGCAGAAAGGAGAAGGCTACATTAATGGTTGAGAAGTATAAGAATTAATGGTGTGAAACTGTAATGGAGATTCAATAGGCAGCAAATTTAGTACAAAAATGCTTTAAGCAATTTTGTACTAAATGTTAATTCAGAAGGAGTTTCAGATACCTGGCTAAACAAAAAAAGAGATGGCTTGTTTTAGTGGCAAAGGTTAAATAATAAATTCAGGTAGTCCTCGACTTACAACCACAACTGAGCTGAGACTTTATGTTGCTAAGTGAGAAATTTGTTAAGTGAGTTTTGCCCCATTTATTACTTTTCTTGCCACATTTGTTAAGTGAATCACTGCAGTTGTTAAATTAGTAACACGGTTGTTAAGTGAATCTGGCTTCTCCATTGACTTTGCTTGTCGCAAATGGGGATCCCAGTGACCCCAGGACACTGCAACCATCATAAATATGAACCAGTTGTCAAGCATTTGAATTTTGATCATGAGCATGGGGATGCTGCAATGGTCATAAGTATGAAAAATGGTCATAAGTCACTTTTTCACTGTCATTATAACTTTGAATGGTCCCTAAATGAACTGTTGTAAGTCGAGGACTACCTGTAGTTAATGAACCATTTTCTGATATATCTATCTAAGAACATTATATGACAGTGAGTTCTATCAGCTTGCATCTCAAAAACATGATCATATTGGAATATACAATATGCACAAAATGTCTGTTTAATAACAGTTGTTCAGCTTTAGGTAATCTTGGTCAATGTAGTTTATTGGGCTAAAAGAGAATGCTAAAAAATTAAAATAATGAAATAATACAAATTTTATAACATGCTATTTATGGAACATAATATATCCAAATTAAAAAAAAATATGGAGTTCATTCATAAATAATGCTGGTATTATTTGAGGGTATGTTTCAAAGTCTATAATAACTTTATTTCTCAATAGTAAATCTGTCACAGAATTCAGTTCAAACAGGAAACTATTTCTAGACTACAATTTAATATATGGATTTGTACTACATCCAAAATTTTGATATTTTACCTTTTAAATTCCTTTTTATTGATATATTTAATTCTTTTATTCATTTTTCCTGTTCTTTTTTTGTGTGTGTTTCTATCTTTAAAATGTTTAAAGAAAATACCAACAACAAAAAATCAGGTTTTCAAATCCTAGTTTATACTCAGGAAACCAGCTCAATTCTTTAATGCAATTTAAGCAGTGTAATTATTTTTTATTATCTGCACTGAATTCATTTCTCAAATGAAGTTAAGTAAAATTATTTCTTTCCAGCTATGCATTTATGACTTTGATATTTGATTTCTATCCATTCATTAATAATTTCTAAAATACACATTCAAATCCTCACTCAAAATCTGTCTACCAAAAGCTTATTCATTGGGATTTTAAAAATCCCAGATTAACCCCAGTTCTGATTGGACTTTACACAAGACAAAACAATCAGATGGGTTTCTTAGAGGAGATTCCACAGTGCTTTGAGACTTGGCAGGTTGGCTGAGGATTCTCAAAAAAGACAAGAAGCAGCCAAATTTTCAAACTTTTAAACCAAATCACATTGGTCTGGAACTTGAGATTGGAAATAACTCCAGCAGGATTTCTTGAGAGATTTCCAGGATATTCTGGTTTTGGCTCATTCAGTAAGTATTGGTCCCAGAATAGCCTTTGGAGGAGTTATTTCGGCATTGCTGACTTCCTGTTAAAGGCTTAAACTGAATGTTCAGGATTTTTCTCTCTCATTCTCTCTTTGTTTTTCTTTGTAAAAAGAACTTTCTGCACACCATTAAAGTTCTAGGAGGTTCATGCTCAGTTCAATTCGAGGTTAGGCCACAGAGATCGGAATGATTGTCTCTTGGTTAGAGGAACTGATTTGTTGCCTATATTGCATGACCTGAAAGAATTTGGGAACACTGCTGAATAGTTACATTTCTAGGACTCTAGAAAGGAATTTAAAGGCAGCTTGGCTTACTTTTGAAATATTTGACTTATTTTGATCTACCACACAGAGTCATTTAGGGAGATCAATAGCAGAACTTTTATCTAACTGCTGAAACACTATACAAATGTTACGTCCATAAAAGAACAACAGTGTGGAATATCAGTCTCTTAATCATAAGGTTGATCCAGGGCATTACACATGTAAGGATCCTATATCAAAAAGATTATCTGTATGAGTTTGATTATCTGTGGAAAGTTTGTCCTGTACACGTGAAGATCAAAATGACAATTCAGGGAATAGCAGAAATTGGCAATACCAAGTCTACAAAAGTGATGACTTACATAATGTACAGAATGCAGACTCCATCCATAATTGACAGAATAGTGGACATTCAGAAAACTGACTAATTGTAATGTCTTAATAAGAGCCACAAAAATATTATGCTTTTAGTCCCCAAAAGGTGCTTTTCACCTGGACTCAATTTGAAATATGCTCAAAGCTTGTTCAGGTCTTTCTACTCTCTAAGGTGTCATTCTTTACAAACTAGAATAAAATAGAATAACAGAATTGGAAGGGACCTTGGAGATCTTCTAGTCCAACTCCCTGCTTAGGCAGGACAAATGGTTATCCAACATCTTCTTAAAAACTTCCACCGTTGGTGCATTCATAACTTCTGGAGGTAAATTCTTCCACTGATTAATTGTCTGTCAGGAAATTTCTCCTTAGTTCTAAGCTGCTTCTCTCCTTGATTAGTTTCCACCAGGGGTGGGTTCTACTTACCTTTACTACCGGTTCAAAACGGGATTGCATGCGCAGATCACCGATGACGGTCCAAACCGGGGGCAACCCACCACTGGTTTCCACCCATTGCTTCTTGTCCTACCCTCAGTTGCTTTGGAGAATAACTTGACTCCCTCTTCTTTGTGGCAGCCCCTGAGATATTGGAACACTGCTATCATGTCTCCCCTAGTCCTTCTTTTCATTAAAATACATATACCCAGTTCCTGCAACAGTTCTTCATATGTTTTAGCTTCCAGTCCCCTAATCATCTTTGTTGCTCTTCTCTGCATTCTTTCTAGAGTCTTAGCACCTTTTTTACATCGTGGCGACCAAAACTAAATGCAGTATTCCAAGTGTGGCCTTACCAAGGCATTATAAAGTGGTATTAACACTTTACATGATCTTGATTTTATCCCGTTTATGCAGCCTAGAACTGTGTTGGCTTTTTTAGCAGCTGCTGAGCACTGCTGGCTCATATTTAAATGGTTGTCCATTACTATTGAGCAGGGTACCACATATACGGTACCTGTGCATTTTGTTTTTCTTGCCTAAATGTAGAACCTTACTTTTTTCACTGTTGAATTTCATTTTGTTAGATAGTGCCCAATGTTCAAGTCTGTCAAAATCCTTCTGTATCTTAAGCCTATCTTTTGGAGTGTTGGCTATTCCTGCCAGCTTGGTGTCAAATTATCTTATTCATAAAACCTTTTCACCCAGCATTGTCAACTGTAGTAGCAATATTGTCAGATAATGCTAACTGCTTTTTTCGGTGAGGATGAGGAGCTACATTGGGCTAAGTGCTGATGGGTTATATCAATGTTTGTTAAGCTTTTTTCTCTCAGGATCCCTTCCCATTTTAAAAAAAATATGGAGGACCCCCTGTTAGAGTCTGTAGCTATCCAGCTAGCACACAAGTAAATAATTAAGCAGGATTCATTTATAGAAGAAACTTCTTTATGTACAATAATATAAAACATGATGCATATATACAATACCCATGCAGCTCTTCCAATGTGGTAGAGAGAAGAGGTAGCAAGGACAAGAAATAGAAATAGAAGCAAGGACACTCAAGCAAAGGCAAATAAACTCTTATATACACAGAACAGTTAAGCTAAGCCACGTCCAGATTCCAAGCCATCTTACATGGCTCACAACAAATCCTGTGTCTCAGTTACCAAACAGTTCCCATTGGCTGACTTGTTGTTATGGCTATTCCAGTTCATAAATTCTTATACACTGACCGCCCCCAAGAACATTTACTTGTATGGGTAATATTTATCAATATTTATTGCATTAATAATTAAAATTGACTCATTTGATGGCACTCCTGTTTATTGTGGTTATTTGATGGAATTTTAATGTTATTTTTCAAAATAAGCTGGCAATAATTTTGATTTTATGGATCTCTGAGAGTATTCTCAGAATACACTTTGGGAAACACTCGGCTGGTGTTTATATGACATAACTTCATGACTTCACAGAAGTCATATTGTCACTATTTCTGAAGAGGAATCACAGGAAATTATTGCTCTCTTTAAATGCCAGAGAAAAAGTTGCTTCATTTCTCCCAATGGAAGAATACATGTGTTAGAAAACATACGGTTCAGCCTAGAATTTCCTGGCATGATTCCCAATTAGAAAATATCTTCCCCTCTAAAGGGGAAAGGGGGCATATGGGGAGAAAGGGTCTGACCATGCCAGCATTTCTGTAGAAGCACTAACAGGATCAGTAAAGTGAGGTAGTGGTAGGCATAGGCCTCTTTTGAGATCCTGTCATTGGCTAGAAAAGACTAATGGGTCACAGATCTCCCAACTCTGCCCCAAGGTTTCAGAGCTCCTTCAACTTTCCTAATCAATGAGATATAGGCCTGAAACAAGGAAAACCTAGCTTCAAGTCCAGTTTCAGCCATGGAAGCTCTATAAGTCACTTACTGCAGGCCTGTCATTATCACTAACTCTTGGTGTTATTGGGGGTGGGGGGGAAGTGCTATACATGAGTCATTGAACTCTGGAGTGAAAGATTATAAATAAAGCGTTCGAACTCTATTTTGCCATATTCCTGCTACCATTCAGGGGAAAATATATCAACTGGATTGATTATTGCTTTCTTACCCTAGTTTGTTTATTCTGCTGACAAACTAAAAATGCTGCTATATACACAGGGCATTTTTTTTCTTGGAGGGGCTCACTCTTTATTTATGCACTGAATTCCCACAACAAATGCAGCATTGCCTTTTTAACACTTCCCCACACAGGCTACTTTTGTACTCATAGTTTCATACTAGAGACCTGATGTTAGATAGTCAAGTTTTCTTGCCTGGGAAGATATTCCGTTAGCATCAATATATTTATGTCTTAGAAACAGACATAGATTTAAAATACTTCCAAGTAGCAAAGCCACAGCTACCCACCCACATATAATGAGGAAAGAAAGATGGCAATCTTTTGAGTCAGATATTTTTTAAAAAATATTGCCACATAAATGACATAATGAGGCAAGTGTGTGTGGCATGAGGCATGTATCTGCCTTGGGAGTGACAGATTATTCCCATTGTAATTGCTATCTTAAAAACTAGGGCAAGGAGGCACATAGCTGTAGATTGATGGCACAGATTTAGCCTTTCTCTGAGCCAGGGAAGGATAATATTGGCACTAAGGTTGCTCATGACAAGGAACCTATTAACACACCCCTGGCCACCCACAAGGCAAGCTTGGCAGCTGATGAGGTCATAAACCACACACTATATTTTGCTGGCAGCATTTTGCCTAAGTTTCTGTCAGTAAATGGTGTTAAGTCTGCAGAATTTTTCTGTGTCTGCATTGAATCACGTACAAAATTAGTGTATTTTATTAAGGACTGGGCAGGGGTGAAATGTAAAATCTGTTACTACCAGTTCTGTTGGCGTGGCTTGGTGGTGGTGGTAATGTGACTGGGTGGGCGCGGCCAACTTTTTAAAAAAAACTTTTCAAAGCATTTTTTCTAATGCTTTGAAAAGCCTCTCTGCCGATCAGGAACTCAGCTGGGATCATCAGAGACTTTTCAAAGCATTTTTTTACCAACTCTTCGGCCAAGAGGTTGCAGAAAAAAATGCTTTGAAAAGCCTCTGATGCCCAGCTGAGCCGCGTGATCATCAAAGCCTTTTTTTTTTACTTTTAAAAGCACTTTTTCATCGGAAGAGGTTGTAGAAAAGATGCTTTTAAAAGTAAAAAAAAAAGCCTCTGATGATTGTGTGTGGCTCAGCTGAGCATGATGGGGGAGGGGGCGCAGGGATTTTGCTACCGGTTCTCCGAACCACCCCCCGCCATTGCTACCGGATCAGGCGATCTGGTCTGAACCGGGAGCATTTCACCCTTGGGACTGGGGAAAAAAGAGAAAAGGATATTAATCAATGCATTTACCTAACTTTCTTTCCCCCATGAAAGAGTCAACCCAATGGCAACCACTGTTGATCTCAGAAACTCTACAGGACTACACTACTTACATGGATTATCACCACCTGAAGCGGGAGTATAAAGGACTAATTGTTAAGAAAAAGAGGGCTAAAGAAAAAGAGAAGTGGGACCTACTTCTCCTCTCTATTCAGCAGAAGAACACCCAACTATTTTGGCAAATGGTCGCCTGTTCGCTGCCTGGTCATCAAGAACTCCCTCTCTGTTGTATTTCCAACAGAGATTGGGAAAGCCATTTTGGATCAATCTTCCAGGCTTCAATAGTCACGACCGGACTCGGACAACAACTGCCCCCTGCAATTCCGGACTGGCACCCCGTGACTCATGCTGAGATCAACGAGCTTATCTCTGAACTTAAGTCAGGCAAAGCTCCTGGCCCTGATGCTATACCCCCTGATCTGTTAAAATCTAATCCCAAGTGGTGGTCTCCTCTTTTAGCAACACTCTTTACCCATATCAATACTTCTGGCAGGATTCCTACCTCCTGGAACCAAGCAATTATTGTCCCTATTTTTAAACGAGGAAATAGGAACAACCCAGCCAATTATCGTCCTATAAGTCTGCTCTTCATCATTGGGAAATTGTACGCTAAATATCTCCAACGCAGACTCCTCACCTGGGTCGAGGAGTCCAACATTATTGGTGCTGAACAGATTGGGTTTAAAGCAGGCTGTGCCACATTGGACCACTGCTTTGTCCTAGCGCACCTGGTTGACAAATATGCCACCATACCAGGTGGTAAACTTTTTACTGCTTTTATCGATCTAAAGGCAGCATTTGATTCAATCCCAAGGGAATTGTTGTGGACAAAATTGTTCAAAAGCTCCATCGACAGACGTCTGTTGTTCCTAATTAGATCCCTATACAATCAGACTTCTAGTCAGGTCAGGTGTAGTTTGCAGGGAGAACTCTCTAACCCTATCCCGATAAAGAGTGGAGTAAGGCAGGGCTGTCTCCTGGCTCCTCTTTTGTTTAACCTATTTTTATCTGATTTGGCCTCTTATATTGGATGTATTGAGTCTCACACCCCAAAGCTGTCAACAACGAAGATCCCGCTTCTCCTTTATGCTGATGACGCGGTCCTCCTATCACTGACGAGGCTTGGCCTGAAAAGGCTTCTCTCTGCATTTGGGTCCTACTGTGCTGAGAATCACTTGTCCATTAACTACGACAAATCAAAAGTCTTGGTGTTCTCTAGTGCCCGGAAGTTACACAACTGGGCTATTAAGGGTAATGCTGTTAAGCAGGTTTCCCATTTTAAGTATTTAGATATACATTTTCAGAACACTGGTGCTTGGACTAGACACCGAACCCAGGTGCTGAATTCAGCTTTTTGTAGCCATCAGCAGATTTTAAGATTTTTCTATACCCAAGGTGGCCAATTTATTCCTTCTGCTCTGCGTATTTACAAAGCCAAAACCTTGGCCCAAACTCTTTATGGAATTCCGATATGGATACAGGGCTTCAAGGAGTGTATTGAAAGAACGCAGGCTGCTTTTTTAAGGAAACTTTTGGGTCTCCCTCCCTGTGTTGGCTTTGCTCCGATGTATCTGGAACTGGGCATTCGATCAGTCGAATGCATGGCGTGGATCAACACCTTTAAATGGTGGTTTCGGGCACTCTTTTTGGCAGCCCCTGGCAGCTACCTCTCCCTGGTGTTAGCTGACCCCTATACGTCTCGGTGGGAGAGGGATCTGACGAAGAAACTCCACCTGTTAGGTTTTTCGGGGGATGCCATGGGAGACTATGGCCTTAAAGATGCCCAATGTAGGGTAGTCCAACAGCTTGTGGACATAGACTTACAATATCTGAGAGCTAGAGCCAATAAAACCTGCTCCCCTCTGGTCTTCAGCCAACTTAATAATTTTGGACTGAGGATGGCCTCATATTTCTATACTCTAACCATCCCTAAGTATAGAAGAGTCTTCTCCCTTGCTCGTTTTAACGTCTTGCCTTCAGCATTGCTGGACGGTCGATTCAAGAGGCTTCCGAGGGGCGAGCGGCTATGTCCCTGTGGTAGAGCGGAGGTTGAGACTGTGGAGCATGTCCTTTTACACTGCCCCATGTACAACGTAGCCAGGACTAATTTGATGTCTCTCTTAGAGACAGATTTCTGTGGGCCCAATGATAGTGATTTGGCCTTGTATTGTCTAGGGGATGGCTCCTCATACACTACCTCTCAGGTCTCAAAAAATTTTCTAAGAGCTGTAACCATTAGAGGAGAGCGCTGTGGTCCCTCTCAGCCGGGGCTTCCGGTGGCCGGCTGTTCGTGATGTTCTTTTCCCTATGTTTTTCTGTAGCTATGCTTGCATTTTGGTCTGTGACCGTAAATAAATTTATTATTATATACATGGATTATCAATTTTTCCTCCTTTCAGGGAATACCTGCAATTTTGCATGTGTTGAGAGAGAAGGCCCACCAACAATACATGAGAAAGCTCAGCAGATTTATATCTTCTGACTCACTTTGCTTCACTCACTTCCCCTTTGCCTAGTTGGAATTGAATTCCTTTTAGTTATAGCCTAGCTTTAAAAACAAACAAAGGCACAAAATTTCTGAGTTTGCAACACACCTACATGAATAACAAAATATGGGTTCTTGTTATACTTCTGATCCTCTAGAGCTGTGATGGCGAACCTATGGCACGTGTGCCACCTGTGGCATGCGGAGCCCTCTCTGCGGGCACAAGAGCCATTGCCCAGCTCAACTCCACTGCACATGCGCACATGCTTCCCGCTGGCCAGCTGATTTTCAGGTCCCTGCCCTGCATACGTGGGAGGGGTGGGGGGGCTACCTTTCTTTTCACTTTCTGCTGCCCGTGCCTTCTCAGATCTCCGGAGATTCCCCTCCCAGCGCTGTTTTGAGAGGCAAGCCTTTTCTCCCCTCTCAGCCGTTTTGGGATGCGAGGCTTTTTTTCCTCTCCCAGCCATTTTGGGAGGCGAGGCTTTCCGCCCCAGCACTGTTTTGGGATATGAGGCCAAAAGGGGGGGTTGTGTGCACATGCACGGGGGGGAGGGGAGCATGGGGGTCGCATGTGCATGCGTGGAGGGAGGGGAGCGGGGGGTCACATGCGCATGCACGGAGTCGCCTGTGCATGTGCAGGGGGTGGGGCGTGCGGGAAGGGCATTGCATTATGGGTGTGGGCACGCACACATGCGCGATAATGCACGCACGCACGCTTTTGGCACCTGAAGAAAAAAAGGTTAGCCATCACAGCTCTAGAGTGCTCCTCAAAAATTATGCCCTGCTTATAAAGTGCCCTGAAGTTTCATTCTATTACAAAGATATGGACTGCCTTAACCAGAGTGTAGGTGTGGGCAAGGTGAAGATGGCCTCAGAAGCTTTCACTGTGATGGAATCTGGAATTCTGGACATACAGCTGCACTCTGTATCACTAGCTGTATTGGTATTCAAATGTTTTTGCTTCATAATTAAAGGGAAATGAAAGCTGAAATCATTTGTTCCAGCATGAGCAAGGATTACAAATTTCCATAATAACTAACTATAGTTGTGTTTTTATTTTTTCAAACATTCTTTATAATTCAGTAGAATTACCTGGTGAACATGTTAAACTGTTTTACATGCAATTAAATGATTATGTTTAGATATTGAGAATAAAATCAGCCTGTGCTTGCAGGTTGGTTTCAGAGATGGCTCTTTGGCACGTAATAATTGTGCAGCCTATAGTTGTGTTGCATCTGGTTCACTCTATCAGCAATCACTTAACAACAAATAAACATTACAAATAAATGATAGACCTGCCTGTTTGTGCACTCAGTTTCAGCATTAACTTTGAAGACATATCCAATCATTGTTTTCTCAATACAGTAGGATAGATAGGCATGTATCCTAATTAGGAAGGACTACTAGAGATATGTGTCATCTTGTTTCTGTTCTACAGAAGCTACATTCTTGTGTTCAATAGCCTTCACACCTTCATCATCCTTCACATGTTTGTACTTCTATGATCCTTGGATAGACACACTGTCACTAGTCAGATTGAGGACAGGTCACAAGACTACTTCTGCCTTTGAATCATCACAACAGAAACCCACAGTAGGACACTGCTACTAAAATCTTAGCAGAATTGTAAATTCATTCTGATATAAAACTAAATCTCTTTCTTGTCTCCATCTTACTATGGTCATTTTGTCTTGGAATGCTAACATTCATATCTAAAGGTATATTCTTCTCATATACTCTTAAGGAGTTAGAATTATGTCTCGTTTGTAATTCTCACTTTATGTCACATACATCACCCTCAGCAGCAATATACAGCTTCTCATAATTGTTGTTTTCTATTTTTTTCTGCTTATACGTTACACCTATACAAAAATAGTCATACTTTCAACCTCAAACTACTGCTTAATTATCCAGATTTCAGAAGGATTGATATAACAAGCTTTTGATACCATCGACCATGGTATCATGCTGCACCGGCTGGAAGAGTTGGGGGTGGGAGGCACCGTGTTACGGTGGTTCTCCTCCGTTCTCTCCGACCGGTCGCAGTTTGTGTTGGCAGGGGGGCAGAGGTCGACCTCGAGGCCTCTCATTTGTGGAGTGCCGCAGGGATCGGTCCTCTCGCCCCTTCTGTTCAACATTTATGTGAAGCCGCTGGGTGAGATCATCCGTGGCTTTGGGGTGAGATACCACCAGTACGCTGATGACACCCAGCTGTACATCTCCACCCCAGGCCACCCCAACGATGCCCTTGAAGTGATGTCCCAGTGCCTGGAGGCTGTGCGGGTCTGGATGGGGAGGAACAGGCTCAAGCTCAACCCTTCCAAGACTGAGTGGCTGTGGCTCCCGGCATCCCGATATAGTCAGTTGACTCCATCACTGACTATTGGGGGCGAGTCATTGGCCCCCACAGAGAGGGCTCGCAATCTGGGAGTCCTCCTGGATATGCAGCTGTCCTTGGAGGAACATCTGATGGCTGTTGCCAGGGGGACCTTTTGTCAGGTTCGCCTGATTCGCCAGTTGCGCCCCTTTCTTGATCGGGATTCCCTGTGCACAGTCACTCATGCCCTCGTCACCTCTCGCCTTGACTACTGCAACGCTCTCTACATGGGGCTCCCCTTGAGGAGCACCCGGAGGCTCCAACTGGTCCAGAACGCAGCAGCGCGGGTAGTGACGGGAGCAGCATGGCGCTGGAGTCCATTGCTGAAAAAGGGTGAAAGGCAAAGCACATGTTAAGATTTCTATCTCTTTACTGGCAGACTCTCAATATGGTTTATTGCTTCAAAGTCTAGGCTGCTTTCCAAAGATCCCTCTTTCTCAGGCTCTGATTGGCTTGAAACCTTTTTTGTTATGAGTTATTTCCAGGTTTGGATGTCCTGAATGGCTCTCCAACTTTTGGATCACGCAATTGGTTCGAAAGAGTCCTGCTTAGTATCTGACAAGTGCTGGTTGTCAAAAGAGGAACAGCTCAATGCCATCTTTTTATTATGATTTGTTTACTTTCTCTATTTTCCAAGCATTCTTTTTCCCCATTCTTCATGCAGTGTCAAGCTTCTGGCAAACGGACTAAATATTCAGAGCAAAAGAATAAACAATAGCTTTGATGTCTCAGTGAATGTAATAGTATATATTTTGCAAAACTTTGATAATGGTACATAATATCAGGAAATAGAAAGTTCTGGCTTTCAATTCATGCCATTTTGCTATCAGGGGGTGTGGTAGCCTAGCAGTTAAGATGTTGGGCTTGTTGACTGGAAGATTAGCAGTTTGAGATCCAAGCACCACATGACAGGGTGAGCTCCCATTCTTGTCAATAAAGCAGTTTGAAAGCATACAAATAGAAGTAGATAAATAGGTACCACTTCATTTGGAAGATAACAGTGTTCTGTGCACCTCAGTGTATAATCATGGCAGCCACATGATCACAAAATCTAATATTGATCGTTCTATTCAAATACAGATGCCTTTAATTGGGTAAGTAACCTTATGCAGACACCATCTCAACAACATAGTGATGGGAAATTTGAAAACTGAGTGTAAACATTTTGCTCATTTCTTTAGCTATTACATTTACTTCGATTTTTTTCAGGAATTCTAAGAGGGATTACAGTACTTAGTTGTGTGCACAGCTCCATTTTCACTGGCAGAGTGCTGCAGGAACTCGTTTGGCTGCAGAGTCGTTGCAGCCGAAAATGGAGCCTGGGAGGGGTGCCCCTGACATGAGTGATGTCAGGCTGGCCATGCTTACCCCGACTCAGAGTCGATCTTGCAACATTATCCTGGGACACGTATATTTACCTTTATTTGACAGGAAACACTGTTTGCTTTTATCAAGTAATCACCTGGATGTTTATGGCCTAGATATGATGCCCTTGTATTTGCTGCTAAAGGAATCTACTTTAGTCCCACCTCATACAGTAATTAAACAGATGGATTTCTGCAGTAAGACAGAAGTTGTTCAGTAGAAAATTCTTTCTGCTCTTCCTCCCACTCTGTTGGGCAAGAGAAAGGTCAACAATACTTATACTTCCTTAGGACTTAATCCCAACTTTGTATGTGTAGCTTCCAGCAAGAAACATGTCACATGCTGGAACCACCATGAACTTCCCTCATGATAGGGATTTTTTTTTCCCTGCAAAAAAAATAATGATTTAAATGTAAAAATGAAATGATTTTTAAAAAATGTTTAAAGGTAAAGGTTCCCCCACACATGCGTGGTAGTCATTGCCGGCTCTAGGGGCAGTGCTCATCTCCGTTTCTAAGCCAAAGGATGTTTACTATTTTTAATTTTAATTAAATATTTTAATGTTTACATAAAAATATTTACTCCTCTACAATTAAATTAGATAGGAAAAGCAGGCAGAATATGCTTTCCAAGCTTTTTGGGTTGGAACCTTTTTACCAATGGTAGTCACAGGAAATGTTTGCATATAAATGCTTCTGTGCAAATGTACTTATTTGTGTGTTTCTGCTCTTCCCTGGTGTGACATATTCGTGTGTTGTGTTCATCTTTGCAAATACAAAGTAGGGAGAAATGAGGAATTTAGAAGGGAAGAGCTGGTAGGTACATTGAGCCACTGCATAACTACCTCTCATAGGAATATCTGGGGAATCCCCCCCACCCCATTTAGTTATTCTCTGAAACTCCCAAATTAGATTCATCCCATTTTCAAATTTGATCTTTCATTTGCTACCATGCTCATTGGTTCCAATTTGATTCAGGTTTTGGAGAGTCATTCTACTGACAGACACATTTCTTTCTAATGTTTTTTTGGGTTGGAAAGAATTAAAAATACTTTAATTAAAATACATTTTTAAAGAATTGGTAATTTACAATTGAATAAATAGGTATCACACACTTCCATCTAAAAAAAAAAGTGCTGACATCAATAATCTGCAAGTAAATTTTAATTGATTTTAATCAATTGATTTTGAAAATTGAAATCAATTTTAATTGATTTTTCCATTAAAATGTCCCACCCCTGCCTAATCTGATTGGGAAAGAGAGTCAATCATGTGCTACTTATAATTAAAGACTGAAACATCTTTCTTACTAAAGAATGGCCTGCTCCACAATTTCTTTATATCTTTAGTTTCTTTGGAAGTTTCTCAAGACAATGTTGACTTAGATAATAATTCTATTAGTAAGCCTGATGGCCTGATAGTTTTTTTACTAGTTTCTAATAAGTTATTCATCAGAGATAAAGCTGTTCATCTTATTAGGGCAATGTAGTCCATATAAAGAATACTAAACAAATTACTAAGAGTATTACTATAAAGCCCATCTCTTGCATCATTTCATTATTGTAATTGTTCAGCAAGCAGGTATCCCAAGACTCAGGCACACTATAGTTCAGTGTTTCTCAAACTTGGCAACTTTGAGATGTATGGACTTCAACTTCCAGAATTTTGAAAGCTTGCTGGAGCTGAAGTCTAGATAGCATAAAATTGCCAAAGTTAAAAAACGCTGCCTTTGTTGCTGGAAACTCATTTCCCATCTCTTATGCTATGCTATGTGAAAATAAGGCTACAGACCCTCAACTATTAGCATCCAAAATATATTAAGAGCAGAGTTCTGTGTTCAACCAAGGACTTGGATCTAATTCCCTCCTCATCCTCATACAGCAATATGGACAGCTGCATTTGAAAGTCTTTCTTACTACCTGAATTCTTTTATACAGTTATGACACAATACAATTATAGCCGAGATTTTTAGGATCCCTTTATGTTGTCTGAAAAAAATTGAAGATATTTTAAATTTTCTATTGAAATGAATAGCATTTAAAGAGTGTTTAATAATGACAGAAATTGGTCCTGTGCTTCATTACAACTCCCAGAAGTACTTGACTGCATTTGAAGTCCAATATCTGGAATATAGTTAGTGAAGTCTATGTTTCTGAAATCTCCTAGCACTGAAAGGTAAGCCCTGAAAAAGAGAGAATATACCCAACTTTTACCAAATTTTTGGATAATTAAAGTTTTAAGTTTTTAGATCTTGTTGACATCACTCCAAAGCTATAGAATGCCCTACCCCACTGAACGTTGGCCCTCTCATTCCCAAACTTCAAAAAAAAGTACCGTATTTTCTGGTGTATAAGATGACTGGGCGTATAAGACGACCCCCCGAATTTTCCTGTTAAAATATAGGGTTTGGGCTATACTCGCCGTATAAGACTACCCCTCTTCCAACGCACAACAAATAAAAATTAAAAAAACATCAACTGGCTCACCCACAATGTAAAAGCAGCTGTGCTAGACCCAAAATGGCTCCTGAAACAAGCAGGAAACTCACACAGCCACAAAAAGCCCCCCCCCCAAAAAAACAACTTTCACACTTTACACACACACAACACAACACAACACAACTGGCTCATCCACAATGTAAAAGCAGCTGTGCTAGACCCAAAATGGCCCCTGAAACAAGCAGGAACCTCACACAGCCACAAAAAGCCCAAAAATCCAACTTTCACACTTTACACACACAAAATTCCACATACAGCTTTGTGAGATTTTGTGTGTTTGTGTAGTTAGAGTGAAACACTACAGAAACATACTAAATCTCAGAAAGCTGCACAAATATTATTTTATTTTATTTTATTTTTATTTTTATATGAAAGCTAAATTTAAAACTTCCTAAGCTTTAAATGGCTAGGTCTAAAAATGAACAACTAAAAAAACCCCCAATTAACTATTTTTTTTTAAAGAACCCAAAGGGGAAAAAAACTTACCCAATAGAACAGGGGTCTCCAACCTTGGCAACTTTAAGACTTGTAGACTTCAACTCCCAAAATTCCTCAGCCAGCTTTGTTTTGCTGGCTGAGGAATTCTGGGAGTTGAAGTCCACAACTCCCTGCCGGCTTGATTGCAGGCAGGGAGTTGCTTGCTGATGGAATGGATTCAGGCAAGCGAAGCAAGGCAAGCAGCTAAGGCAGTGGTTCTCAACCTTCCTAATGCCGCGACCCTTTAATACAGTTCCTCATGTTGTGGTGACCCCCAACGATAAAGTTATTCCTAAAACCATCAAAAATATGTGTCTTCCGATGGTCTTAGGCCAGGGGTCCCCAACCTTTTGGACCTCAGGGACCACCAACTTCATAATTTTAAATTTCGCGGACCACTAATACGAATCCAGTGCGCCGCTTGCTGAAGCACCTGGACTCCCAGTACAGGATGGGGTCCTTCAGGCACTCTCCCTCCTCTCTGTCTCTCTCTCTCTGTCTCCCACTCTTTCTCTCTCATTCTCTCTTTCTCTCTCTCTCATTTTCGCTTTCTCTTTCTCTCTCCCTCTCTTTCTTTCTCTCCCACTCTTTCTCATACTCTCTTTCTCTCTCCCCCTTTCCCCCACTCTCTCATTCTCTTTCTCTCTCCCTCCCTCTTCCTCATTCTTTCTTTCCCCCACTCTTTCTCTCTCCCCCTCTCTCATTCTTTCTCCCTCCTCTTTCTCATTCTCTTTCTCTCCCACTTTCTCTCTCATTCTTTCTCCCCCCTTTCTCCCACTCTTTCTCTCTCCCCCTTTCTCTCTCGCCCCACTCTCATTCTTTCTCTCTGTCCCCCTTTCTCTCCCCCCCACTCTTTCTCTCTCCCCCTCTTTCTCTCTCTCTCCCCACTCTTTCTCTCTCATTCTCTCTCTGATTCTTTGATTCTCTTTGATTCTGTCTCTTTCTCTGTCTCTCATTCTCTCTCTCTCTCTCACTCTCTCTCTCTGATTCTGTCTCTTTCTCTCTTTCTCTTTCATTCTGTCTTTCTCTCTCTTTCATTCTTTGTCTCTTTCTCTCTGTGTCTCATTCTGATTCTCTCTCTCTCATTCTCTCTTTCATTCTTTGTCTCTTTCACTCTCTCTGTCTCACTCTGATTCTCTCTCTTTCTCTCTCATTCTCTCTCATCTCATGGGCCAGCCAGTGTCTTGGGGCTGAGAGGAAGTCAAGCATCTCCCTGAGAGACTGAGGGCCGGAAGAAGTGTGGGAGCGAAGCACTACTTGAACTTGTGCAGCATGAGCATTCGCCTTGGTATATTTGCGCCAGCCGATGGCCAAGGCAGCCCTCATCTCTCTGCTGAAAGTGCAGCATCAGGATTCTGCCTTGGTATATTTGTGGCGCAAGGCAGCCTTTGTTTCCTGCTGCTTGGGACTCAGAGCGGTAAATGGTGACTGGTTCGGGGAGCAGCTGGATTTTGCTCTCCATTGCGGACGCCAGATCAGCCCCCTGCAAGATCTCATCTTTCGAGGAACGCTCCCTGAACTGGCACTGGAAACTTTGGTCGGGCTCCTCAAGAGACAAGAGCTTGCAGGGGGCCAATCTGGCATCCACAATGGAGAGCAAAATCCGACTGCTCCCCGGACCAGTCACCATTTACCGCTCCGAGTCCCAAGCATCAGGAGATGAGGGCTGCCTTGCGCCACTGGCTGGCACAAATATACCAAGGCGGAATCCTGATGCCGCTCTTACAGCGGAGAGAAGAAGCCGGATTTTGCTCTCCATTGCAGACACCAGATCGCCCCCCTGCAAGCTCTCCTCTCTCAAGGAGCCCAACCAAAGTTTCCAGCCCCGCTTCAGGGAGCACTCCTCGAGAGACGAGAGCTTGCAGGGGGCCAATCTGGCATCTGGATTAGAGAGCAAAATCCAGCTGCTCTCCGGATCAGACGCCATTTACCACTCTGAGTCCCAGGCAGCAGGAGAGGAGGGCTGCCTTGCACCACTGGCTGGCACAAATATACCAAGGCGGAATGCTGTTGCCGTACAAATGAAAGTAGTGCTTCACTCCCACAGCTTCCAGCCATCGCAAACGCCGCTTCTTCCCGCTTCTGCCGCCCCCTCACCCACCGCCACAACAGCACCATTCATTCCAGATGGCGAGGGCTGCGCTCATTTTTCTGTATTGCATCACCTGCAAAAATGCAAAAATACAAAAATTTCTCCGCGGACCACCAAAGGACCACCGGTTGGTGACCACTGTCTTAGGTGACCCCTGTGAAAGGGTTGTTTGACCCCCAACCACTGAGCTAAGGTAAGCAAGCTGGAGGAGGAAAAGTTTTTCTCTTCTCCATGGCTCTGGAGATCCTAGCTGAGTTGCCTGATTAGCAGATCGTCAGAGCTTGGATCGCCAGAGCCATTTAAGGCTCGTCAGAGCCTTTCGGGCTGGTCTGCCTGGTTACAGGAGAATGACACCTGGTGTATAAGACAACCCCTGACTTTTGAGAAGATTTTCATGTGTTAAAAAGTCGTCTTATATGCCAGAAAATACGGTATCTAAACTTTTTTTAAAAAAATGGTCTTTGAAATCCAAAGCCCAGCTGATAATCTTTATTTATATAGATTTATTGTCATCGGGCTCCTTTATTGGGGATGACCTATGTACTTTTTTTTTTTTTTTGCAGTTTAGACATTCTTCAAATAAGTAAGTTCAGGTGTCTTGCATAAAAATGTAAACTTTTGGTCAATTTAATTCTAGCTAAAAATATTACACTATCGTAAATATGGTTGATGCAAACGTGTATTATAAAACATTGTGTAATCATCTTTAGTATATGATGATTCAAATTCAAGCTGCAATTCCATATTTGATTTCAAATAGTTCTGATATAAATTATCAAGAGACACATAAATCATTGCAGTATAAATCTGACAATACCATCCACAAAATTGAGATTGAATAGAGAAACACATATTCATACAATAAACACATTCATATTAAATGTTATTTCTTAAAAGTTGAAATCTGAATATGGCCAAATTTAAAATAGCCGATTTGCTATGTCTCCTCTGAAAAGAACTTTATCATTTTGTATCTGATATTTTCAAAATGCTTGATGTGTATAAATACCAATTTAGCTGACCTCAGAAGAATCAGAGGTCAAGGTGATTTAATGAAGAAACTAATTTAAAAATTTTCTTGCATTATTGACTCTGAGCTTTATTTGTAACCCTAGAAAAATTAATTTCTTGCAAAACACCATTAATTATCCCCAAATGCCAATATGAATGTCTGCCACCACATAACTACATCTGGCAACAATGAAGACAAATTAACAAGGAGAGTCAGAAAACCTGGCAATTGGATAAACAAAAGCATGAAAAATCCATTCTGTACAGTGAGACCACCAGTATTTGGAGATAGATTAACTTCCTGTCTCCAAAGCTAAATTAAAGAGGGAATTATACTGCAATATGGATACCAGGTTCCTTGATAGAGAAAAGAAAACCTGGCTTCTTTGACATTGCTAGATGGGACGGTACAAATGGGGGAACTTTTCTTCCGCATCTGAAATACGTGGTTTATATAGTTCTGTGTAAACAGCTGCTTTCAATTTTGCTTCGAAAAGATCTTGACAACTATATAAATTTGCACTTCCAAAGTGAATGGGTTGGGTGGGGGAGGCAGTCCTGTAATATTAGCCCATAGGGCCATACATGGGTCTCAAGCACATTGCTGACATGAGGATTTACAGTTTTCAAGAGCCTAGACTATTGCATCAATGGAAAAGATGCGACTGCTTTAATCTATCCTTAATTACCCCAAAGTACTACGTTTTGATTTCTAACCAGAGAGACAAGCCTTAATCCTTGTTTTCTTGAGGGGAGAAGGTGAAGGAAGGGAGAGAAAGGGAAAACAGGATACAGTTCTAGTTTAAGTTAGCGTGGAAGACAATGCACTTTCCACTTTAATTTTGAAATAAATTTGTGAGAACTGAGTAATTTCTGAGTTAAAAACTAAATCATTTTATATTAATCTAAATTTGTTCAATTAATGCAAAATAAATTAAAAATACATAAGCTCAGCCTTTTGAAGAAATACTTCATGATGAAGTTTATGACACAGTATGATGAACTCAGAACACCTGAAAGCAATATCTAAAATTTTAATCTCTGTAGTGAGAATTGTTCTTAATGAAATTTATCAAAATAACAAAATTTCAGCTTCGTTTTTCTTTTAAAAAATTAATAAGAAAATCAACTTTTTAAATCCTGATATCAGGCTTTCAAATAAATGGCTGGACCAAAATATTATAGCTTCCTAGTACTTTGTAAATCAACTATTATTATGAACAGAATAGTCATCACTAATAAAGAGAAAAAAAGTCAATCTGGTATTGAAATGCTGTGCTTTTTCTTTAGCACAAACAGGATTAGATTATGCTACAGAAAACTCAGCAGTACCATAATAACTTAAAATATCAACATCATTATAACCATGGATTTGGAAGGTACAAGATCAGTGAAACTATGGTTTCTTTCATGTCTCCTCTTGTTTACCAAAGCAGTGTAGTAGGATAGTGGCATTAAAACTACAAACTTCACCAGCCATTGTGTTTCATCAGTCATGTCCTAAAAGATGATCCAACCACACTCTAATCACCATTTGAAGTTTTAATTCAAATGGCTCTGTGTGTCATGTTTTTTTTAAAAAAATACAAATACCCACCCACAATTTCTGCAAAATGCAGTAGCGATCTTTCCAGCAATTGTCCTTTCCAGAGAGATCTATTCTCCCTCAGAGCACACATTTAATTCTTAAGAGTGCATGACTTTCCTAACATCAGATGCTGTCTTATATTTGATAACACACCATTTCCATCTATACAGCCCAATTCATACATATGTCTTCACAGATATGAAGGCAACTGAAATAAATGAGTATCTTAGGATAAGGATGCATAGGAATATGGACCAATCCAGAAGTCTTATTTTACTGGTTACAACAATCTAGGGGTATCAGGTGGTCAGTCCAATATCTCAAATGGATATTTTCCTCATACCTCTTGTCAATGATCAAACTTACAAAGACAGCACTGGGTTGTACTGAATGCAATATTTAAGTGGCTTGTGAAAAACAAGAGTGCATTATTCCTAAAGATAGGCAGATTCAGGGCCAAAACAAAGCTAAATGTGACCAGGATTTTCATCTATTAAAAGATAACCTAGAAATGCAATTTGAATTTCTGGAATGGATGCATTATAATTTGGGATTCAGTTTCATACTGATCATACATATTAACTAGAACTGGAATGTCTATGGGGTATAGGAAGTTTACAAGTGCATTTTTGCATATATCCAAAACATCTTTTCTGACATGGGCAATGTTATGCACCATAGCGCAGTTGAAACTAGCAAAGAAGATGCAGCTTCTTCATTCCCTTGAATATGATCTTGCTTTTATGTGCTTGTTACCAGTGCTATTTAATGCAGAAATCAACAAAACATAATAAACATTGTCAGATATTAATCTGTTAACCATTCATAATTTTGAACAGTTTCTTAAATCACACAAAAGTATATGAATTGGTATTAGTTTAAAACACCCATTTAAATAAAGTGAAGTCTGTCTCAGTAACAAATGCATAGTTCTTATTCACACCATTAATTTACAAAAAATACATTTTGGTTAAACAAAACTATACACATAAAAAATGTAAGGAATGTATAATCTTCCTGATATAATACATTTTGCAAATAAAGCTGCATCTGTATAAAAATCATAAATCTCTTTTAAAATACAACCAGAAGTTTCTTTTTAAATAATGTCCACTTTGAGGTAGTATAGTTCTTTGGTTCATGAGCTGATTTTGGGTTGGCACTGATGGCAAACTATGTATCTAAGTCAAAAGATTGAAAAGTAGGAGTCCTAGAGTTTTCAACTGATTGCCCACAAATAAAATTGGTAATGTCTACTTCAGGAAACGTCCTACCCATTTTATTACTACCTTCAGACGCCGAGTCAAAATCCAATGATTCATTAGAATAATGTTGGGAGGCTTTTGGCTGCAAAACTGAGGACTGCTTATAGCTTGGCAAAGAATCAAGCTGTGGCTTCCATATAGATTTTCCAAATGTTCCTAAAGAGATAGAGAAAACATTTATTAGCAATTATGGACAAGCAAAATAAATGTTCCACAAAATAGCCAACAATCAAGTCTCTGTTAATATCATAAATTTAATAATTACACTTTTTCTAATTACTCAATTATTCTGGTTCAGACCTGTGTTCACATATTTGGGAGAAACAAAGCAAGATATTGATTTCCTATTCATCTTTCAAGATTTGGTGTCTTGTGAGAGTTAAGGAGAGATCTAGGTTCACATTTTTATGCAGTTATGAAGTTTAGTAGATAGCCTTTGAAACGTGACAGGCTCATTGTAAGGCTCACTGAATGAGCATTCTCTCTCAACTTATCAGAGGGATAATACTGGAAGATAGTAAGACTAAATACTGTCTAAGTTCTTTCAAGAAAGAGCAAATAACATAGATGCTTGATGAATGAGACCTTTACTTCATATGTGTAGGTTTTTTCAGTTAACAACTGAAAAATATAGGAAAATGGGACTTTTTCAATGAATAAAGTAGTTAAGTCCTCATTTTTCAACTTTACTGCCTTATAACTTTATTGCTTGCATTCAAATGTAGTAAGGCATAGTTTCCAGCTATCCCAATATGGAAACATGCTGAAAATATCTTAGTGGCATAGGCCACTAAATGGTCAGCCCTTTTTTAGCAGAAAGGCAAACTCAATGTTTATTAACACATCCTAAAAAAATCTCTAAAGAAAATTGTTTAATGGGTATGGAGGAGAACAGTTTTTCAAAAAGCAATTCTACTTGTGGTCAAATGTGGTTTGCTCCCCATTATATGTATTTAGGATTTCTGGGTTAGAAAACCATTAAAACATACCCATGAAAGTGGTGCTTGGTGTAACAGAAGACAGTTCTTGATTTCTCTTAAATCCACACGTGTCTACATTTAGATGTGAACTTCTTATTCCATTCTCCTCACTTGGGGGATAAATAGAAGGAATCAACTTATTACTTGGCATGTGTATTCTGGAGATAGTGAGGTTTCGGTCAAAAGGATCTTCAGGTGAGTGGATATATGGGTAGCAGTCTTTTTTCTTTAAGCAGCTTGAATCATAAAGGTCCATGCATGCTATTCTTTGCTCTGAATTGCTGCCTTAAAAAACCAACAGGAAAAAAATTTACAATTTTACTGAAGACTGTTAAAATTAAAAAAAGATGGAAATAATTAAAACATATATATAATATAAATTACCTGTATGGTATGTTTCAAACATTTCTGGGCTACATAAATTTTCTTTTAAGTGCAGGCTTCCTGAAGTTCCCAGGTAATGGCATAAGAATGGATCCGTTACAGCTTCCAAGTCATTTTCACTACAGCTATCTGTATGACAACATCCTTTGAAAGGGAAATGACATATATCAGTCTCCTTTGATTTCAGATTTTTTTTCAAACCAAAACATCTTTCTACAGGTATTCCTCAAGTTATGAACATTCATTTAGCGAATGTTCAAAGTTACGACATCCCTGCCAAAAGTACTTACAACTGGGTCCCAATGTTATGTATGTTGCCTCACCACAGCGATCAGCCTTTCCAACTTCTCGTGAAAAAAAAAGTAAGTTCTCACGAAGTTGGACAGGCTGATTTTCCTTTTTGTTATATCACCACAAACTTGCCTCATGGAATTGCTTGGTCTCTCCTACTCTGCATTGGAGAAAGCGACAACTTCGGAGGAGCACTGAACCTGCCTGGATTTCACAAATCTTTGGAGGATTCTTCTATGGTATCCTCCGCATTTGTTCCTAGTGGTTGGTGGGATGTGGAGGAAAGGCCCAAACAGCCTGGGACCCCAAGGGATGGGAAGAGGAGTATGGGATCTCTCAGTGGGTGGGGGGTGGCCTTTGGTGTCTGGACGTAGTGGTCTTGTCCCTGCACTAGGCCTCCCATGATCTTTCCCACTCCTGAGGTACCACATGCGTTCTTAACGACCCATGCATTTGATTAACGAATGCATTGGAGAGAGGAGGGATGGGGCTCATTCATTTAATGAGTTAAATTAACAATTAACAAATCCTCATACGTAATTGGCAGGTTCCATTACATTTGTAACTCAAGAATTACCTGTATAGAGAAGCCTAACCAAATACAAAGCAGCTTGAGTATAATGAGTTACAGCTTCATTCAACAGTCACAATCTTAGTAGCTTCCAAATTTTTAGTACTACACACTCTCCATTCATTTATATTTGCTGACCACAAATTAAACATTTATTGATGGATATCAAATTGATTCTGCTGGGAAAAATCATTAAATTCATGCAAACTATCCTCACTATCCCAGGCAGCTCTTCAAAATAATCTGAGAAAATTCTATTATGAGGGAAAAATACTGGAAAACATCGTTATGCAAAAGAGTGTTTTATGTGACAAAAATCTAAAGTTATATTATGCTGAAATTCTGGCTCAAAATATAAACCAGATTGGAGGCACTGCCTGGAACATAGCTGAAATATTCTTTCTCCAGATGTGTGCATGTATAGAGGGGGGAACCTCTCCCTTTTTTACAGGAATTTTACTCATGGATAGACAAACTATCCACATGAAATATAGGCTCTTTCTCTTCCGTGATGTGCTTCATAAGATCATCACTGAGAATACCGGTTTAAGTTTCGGGTTAGGTTAAATCTTTAGAGAATAGCTTGGAACATAAGCTCTTTTCTTCTTTCCCAACTGTGAAAAAATCAGAACTTTTCTGTCAACAGTAAGGCCTTAGCTAGTATTGCAGATGAAAATACCGGGCAGAAATCAGTTTTTTTAGCATTATGGTGTCAACTCAAGAAGCTTTCCTGATCTGCTCCCGAGTTGCCATAGGCAAGGTATGAAAAGTAGACTAGGAAGACCCCCTGGGTTATTGCAACAGGTGGCAGACCCAATGAGACCATGGGAGGAAATCACAATGGACTTTACAGTTGAGCTACCAAAAAACGGGGAGGGGTGGAACACAGTGATTTGGACTGTGATTGACCTATTCTCTAAGCAGCACACTTCATACCCTGCAGTGGACTATCCTCAGCCCACCAGCTAGCCAAAGTCTTCCTGAAGCACATCTACCGTCTGCATGGAGTACTGCGCAGAATCATTTCGGACAGAGGAGTCCGATTCACGGCTAAATTCTGGAGGGAGTTCTTGCAGTCCATTGGGTCGTCCCAGGGCCTTAGCTCAGCTTTTCATCCGAGTACCAATGCAGGGCGGAGAGGCTTAACACCAGGTAGAACCTGAGGTGCTATGTGAACTACCAATAGTCCAATTGGCGGACCTTCTGCCATTTGCAGAGGTTGCTTACAATAATGCTGTTCACAGTAGCATTGGACTAACCCCTTTCAAGGCAGTAGCGGTATGGACTTTGTCCCAATGCCAGAATACCCAAGGAAACCCTCTTTCTCAGTCAGTTTGATTGACTGGCTGTCAACCAGTCAATCAACCAAAAGCAGCATGGGAAAATGTCAAGAAAGCGCTAGCTAAAGCAGTGCAGACCTATAAGCAACAGGCAGACAAACACCAAGCCCCACAACACCCGTTCCAAGTGGGGGAGAAGGTCTACCTATCCACAAAATACTTAAGGCTAAAGCTTCCCAGCAAGAAGCTGGGACCTAAGTTTTATTTTTTATTTTAATTTTATTTTATTTTGAATTTGTATACCGCCCTTCTCCCTGCGAACTCAGGGCGGTGAACAGCCAAGTAAAAACATCAAGTACAAATATTAAAATACAGTTAAAATATATATATATAAATTTGGCCCCATTAATTAAAAACAATAAACAAAACACTTAAAAACACTTAAAAAATTAGGCCAGCCCGGCTTGCTGGAAAAGGAAGGTTTTAAGGGCACGGCGGAAGGCACTGAGGTCTTGGACTCTCCTTATCTCTGGAGGCAATTGATTCCAGAGGGTAGGTGCCCCCACAGAGAAGGCCCTCCCCCTGGGGGTCACCAGCCTGCACTGTTTGGCTGATGGCACCCCGAGGAGGCCCTCTCTGTGGGAGCGCACGGGTCGATGGGAGGTCGTCGGTGGCAGCAGGCGGTCTCGAAGATAGCTAGGCCCTATGCCATGGAGCACTTTAAAGGTGATAACCAACACCTTGAAGCGCACCCGGAAGACCACTGGGAGCCAGTGCAGCTCGCGCAGGAGCGGTGTTACATGGGAGCGCCATGCTGCTCCCGTCACTACCCACGCTGCTGTGTTCTGGACCAGTTGGAGCCTCCGGGTGCTCCTCAAGGGGAGCCCCATGTAGAGTTCATGGGGCCATACCGCATAGTAAAGATGATCAGCCCGGTCATGGTGCTACTGAAGCTGCCCCGACTGCTGGGGAGAATACACCCAGTATTCCACAGCAGCCTCTTAAAACATGTGGTCAGATCAACCCTGAGACCACTACCCTGTGAGCCCCCAGATCCAGTGGTCATCGGGGCCAAACCCATTACAAGGTGCAACACATTTTTGACTCTAGGTGGCACAGGGGCAACTCCAAGTGGAGGGGGCTACCCTCTATCAGAGGCATCTTGGGTAAAGAGCAGAAACATCCAAGCTGACTGCTTCATAGCCAGAGTCCATGAAAAACCCCAACCAAACCTAGGGGGGGATCACATCCTTAAATGATACACCTGTATTCAAATAATTTTTGCTTTGCACAGGTTGCCTTCAGGAAGCTGAATGTCAACTCACGAAGCTTTCCTGACCTGCTCCCGAGTAGCTGTAGGCAAGGAGATGGGAATTGCACCTTGCAGCTGCACCAAGGAATTCACACCTCAGTCAAAACAAGACACAGCCTAGCTGGCCGAAGTCAAGGCCATCTCCACGAAGACCCGCAATGGCTGGGGGGAGTGACTTCTACAACCCATGAAATTGTTTCGTTGGGGAATGTGACTGATGACACACTGGGGGGAGGGGGAAACAGGGTCAGAGGCAAGGCGCAAATTGGGTGAAGCCAAAGATGGCTTCACACAGGTCGTGCCGACACGGTGCTCCTAATAAATAACTGGATTTTTTTTGCTAAATGGCTTGAGACTCTTAATTTTATTAGGGCATTGGTTGGAACCCTGACATATGGATTTTTGTTTAAAAACAGGTCTAGGTGAAAACTAAAAATGAAATAACATGCAGAGTAATAAGAATGTTCAAGTCATTTCCTAGAAGTGTTCTTCAGCTGGAAAAAACATACATATCAAGAAGAACAGCACTACTGTAAAACTAGAAACATGTGGATATATAATATTAGGACATCTTTGGGCTAATAATAGTCAGAAGACAATCCTTCATCAAAACAATTGATGAGAAATTTAGAAATAGTAAAATAAAATTATTGTTCTCCAATTTATTTGGTTAAAGAACAAGAGTTCTTTAACCGGGATCTTAAGCTGCAATTCTGCAGCACATTACATTGGAATGAAGCCCAGAATTACATTCTGCAGCACATTACATTGGAATGAATCCCTACATGGATTGCATACAGCTGTTAAATCCTTACCGTTGCTTTGTCTCTGTTGAAAGAAATATCCACCCATGGGGGATGTCTGTACAAAATGATGCTGGCTTCCATTCTCTGATGACCCATATCCATCTTGTCTTTCAGCTAAAGTTCCTTGGGATGACAGATAGCTTGGAATATCTGCAGGTAAGTTTGTCTCATCTGTGATAAACAATGTACATGCACAAAACTATCAGTGGCTGAATTCTTTGAAGTATTTTGCATGAGCTACAGAAGGATGAGTTTCAAAAATTATTTAGGTTTCAGAATTTGAGTCAAAACACAAATATTTTTGCAAGGAAAACTTCAGAAGGGTAACCTCAAACATCTTTAAGAGTCTGTTCCAAGTTCTAGTTTACTCACCCGTGTTTGTGACACTGCAATCTTCATTTCTCCTTCTCGTGTGGTATATGATGACCACCCACACAAGGGATGTGCCAACCACACAGCACACCACAGCTATGATCACTACTCCCACAGTAGCCCATCCATCATCGAGAGACAGGGCAGCATTTTGAGGAGAATCACAGGTAGGAGTAGGAATCACACTCAGGCGAATGTTGCCTCTCTCGGTTCCAAGTGTGTTAGACATTTCACATGTGTATTTCCCAGCATCTTCAAAGTCTGTGTCCACAATAATAAGCAACTGATTTCCCGCAGCAAAGAAATGCTTTTCTGTCACTGCTAAAGTGCCATCATCTTTGGTCCAATTCAGCCGAGGAGATGGGCTGCCCCCAGCAATACACTGCAAGACTGCTGTTTCACCTTTCATCACAGTTCGATCCAGCAAGGGCCTCAAAAAGGAGGGTGTTTCTAAAAATGGATAAAAAGTCAGTAAACGCATAAAAGTTCTCAGGGTAGAATCTTAATCATAGATTGCACAATTATGTGCAAATGTACTGAAAATAATAGATCCAAGTCTAATATGTGTATTAAGCTGTATTTATTGCTGTCAAAAATAAAATGGTGAGCTATCAAATTACCAGGGTTCAGCTTAGAGGGACACGATATTCTTACCTAATATTGTTAATGTCGCATTTGCAGAAATACTGCCTGCAATATTCTGAGCTGTGCAGCTGTAAAGACCTGTATCCTCAATTTTGACATCCACAATAAAAAACACATCATCCTCAGGCATCACATGCATGCGTCTCTTGCGTGCTGCAGGGAAGTCAGTACCACCATCTTTCTGCCAAGCAATCTGGGGCATGGGATGACCAACAGCAGCACACTCTAGCCGTGCTGTTGCCCCTGCACGGATTGTAAGATCCATGGGCATCTTGGTAAACAATGGAAGTACTATAAGAAAGAACACATCTATGTATCAGGAATGGTTCCAATGAAGATTTGTCATTAATTATTTCATGGGGAGGTCACCACTGATTCCTGCTTCCCAAAAGAATAGAATAAAAGGTCTTGTTTTCTCAGGCCATTTTTCTGTATTTTGCTTTTGTATTTGTGGCTTTGAGTCAGTCTTGACTCCTGGTAGTTGCCTCAACAAGTACACACAACTTTCTTGGCAATGTTTTTGGAAGTGGTTTGCCCTTGCCTTTTTGCTAGGGCTGAGTGAGCATGACTGGCCCAAAGTCATCTAGCTGGCTTCATGCCTAAGGTAGGACTGAAACTAGCAGTTTCTGGTTTTTAGCCTAGTGTCTTAGGTACGACACTGGAACTTAGCTTTATAAATTTGCTGACAATTTATTGATTTACTTATTGATTTTTTAATGATTTATTTATTTAATATTTATTGTGAACTTTTTAGAGAAGACTGATGCTGGAAGATAAATAAACAACAAAAACAAACTAATATAGGTTTATAGTCTTAAAAATGAAAACAGACAAACAAATATATATCTGATAGCATCCCTAGGGAGACATTTTACTGACAGGATGTCACCTCTGAGAATCTTCTTGTTGCCACCTGTTTTTTCTTCAATTCATAGGATTCCTTGAGAAGACCCACCCATAATAGGTCAAGCAGATATAACGATCAGAATGTTTTTACATAACTGCATTCTCAGTTATAAAAAACCTCATTTATTTCTGTCATGAGAGCAGAAGCAGAAGAGCTCATAAAGAAATAGAGTTCTAAACCTTGGTCCTCATTATCAATTGAGCAACTATATTCTAAATAGTTATTTCCAGATAGCCTTGAAATATAGTTTAGAGTTAATAAATTCCATAGGTTTCCACATGTTGTTGAGTACCTTACAGAAACTCCAGCTAGAATAGCCAGCATTAGGAATGTTGGGAGCTATAATATGAGGAGCTCTAGTTATTTTACCTACAAGTTACAGCAATCTAAATGGAGGCTTGTAGGTACAAATAACTGCAAAAAACTCATTTATTTTCTCATGTATCCACACAACCAGCTAATATCTGCTCAATATCTATTAAATATGCTAAGCAAAACCTTTCAGAAGGAATGCTGTATCATACATTTTAATTTTAATATGTAAGTATATTTTAAATGCTTACTGTTCACTGTAAGTTTAGCCTTGACAGAATACGATGAGCCAAAGTGATTGGATATAACACACTGGTATTTTCCTTCATTACTGAATTCAACATTGCGCAGTCTAAGGATGGTGGTGTACTCCATCACTTCACCACCTTGTGCCCTAAGGTGGGCATAATTCTCCATTTCAGCATCACCTATTAATTCATTATCCTTTTTCCATGCGAAAGTCATCGGAGAATCACTGCTGCTGGCTGCTGAACATATAAAACTTAAATTGGAGCCTTTGATTGCTGATTGAGTTTCAGGTTGGACAGTTATCTGTGGCTTTGGAAAATCATCTATTAAAAAAGAGTCCCCCCCCAAAAAAAGAGTAGCATTGAATAAGATCACACAATTTCTTGTCCATCAGAAAAAGTGAGAGATCAGACTTGAAAACTTATTAGTTCTGATACAGTCAATTTTATATAGCACATATTTTTAAAAACCAGTTCTTTTACTAATCTTTGTCTAAATCAGTCTTTTATAATTTGGTTGGGACAGATGCCAAATTAGGAATTGCTAATCTAATAAATGTCAATTTCTTAATCCATATTCTGCTCAGAAATATGATCCATCAAGTTGACGAACCTTCCTTGTATACTTATATACAAAGGCATTCTGTATGGTTTAAAAGAATTATTTCCATTTCCGTAGCACACTCAATCACATAGCTACTTATTGAAAAGCTGGCTGCCCACTAACCTAAAAGCATAGAGAAGGGAAAGCTGCACTGACACACAGAGAAAAACTAGATAGCTACTTATGCCTGGTCATCTCCTGTTTAGATTATTGCAATATAGTCTACATGGAGCTACCCTTGAAGAGTATTTGGAAGCATACAGAGTTCTGAAGGCCCTAGGGTGGCGAATAACATCACTGTTACATGAGCTGCCAAAGTATTTTGACTGGTGGGGTCCAGGAGAAGAGCCATTTATGCTGCAGCCCCCAACCTTTGGAACATCTTATTGCCAGGTATCTGTCCCCTCTCTTCTGGCCTTAAAACCTGGCTATGCCAGTTAGTATGGGACCCTGAAACTGTAGGCTGAGGTGGTTGGCGCAGTGACAGAGAAGGTACTACCACTGCTCAGCAACAAACCTTTGATCCTTTACCCTGTTCTTATTATTTTGTAATTTTAATCCACTTTTATATCTTTGTTTTATTACATTGTAGGCAACCCAGTTACCAAGAATGGCTAGATGGATGGTATATGCATTTAATAATATGCAAGATTTCTGTCTATAATTGAGGAACAACAAAACTGCTTAGAAAGAAAGAAAAAGAAAAATGTTTAGTTCAGGATGACTTGATTTTTGGAGTCTGATATATTTGTTCAGTGCCTTCTTAGCTTCAAAAGGTCACTGAATAAATGGTTGTTAAGCAAGGATTACCTGTAAGTGGGATTTACTGTAGTTCTGAAAAGACGTGTAATAATTTTCAGATTTTCTTAATCATTACTTATCACTTGAAAGATATGGTTAGGTGGTATTCTAATAAATATATAATCATTGTGTGTTATGCTAAACATACCTGTAGGCATCTCTTAGTACAAGAAGAGTGATCTTTCCATACCGTTTTTTAAAACTGTAAGGATACTGACAGGCACTCAGGTATACTGGCCCATGTAGAAGCAAATGATGGCTTCTGTTTTATATCTGTTTTATCAGTCATATTCAAGGATAGCATGCAAATTCATTGTTAAATCAATTACAGTGTTTTTATTTAGCTAGCATGCCATGTTTCAATACTGATTTCTAGTTTTTAATTTTCTGAATAATTGCATCCAAAATTGATCACCTCTGTGTAGCTGTGACTTGTACAAGTTACATCAATTTTGAATTATAAGGATAAGAAAATGTGTAAGTAAGTATTTTTCATCTTTGTTAAAATAAATATTTTTTGTTTTCTCAGCTATCCCCCCTTAAAAATTCCTCTCTGACCTGGCATGTTAAATTTGTATTTAAAACCACATACACATCATTATTTACATTATGTTTAGAAAGGCATGTGGCATTTTTCCTGCTGAGCAATCATAATAATGAATGCAAGAATGAGTATTCTACAAAATTTTACAATCCTGACAAGAGTTAAAAAGGACAATTTAAACGTACCACATACAAAACCTTCTAGGCTGACAGCAAAAACATTTCTTCCTTTTAATGCCTGAGGATGGGCACACGTGGCATTTACAAAACTCTGGAATTTATTGTCTATTAGCCACTCAGGTAGCCATTTCAGCTGGCAATCGCACAAAAGGCTTGATGTGTTTATATATCTGGAAAACAATCATGAAACACATTAGAACCATAAGAAAAACAGACCTCTACATCTGAAGGGAACAATATTAAAAACAACCCTTAGCAAACAACAAACTGGTGCCCAACATCTTGCTCCATCATAACATATCAAAACAGTAGCAAGTAACTCTAACATGAAGATCTTTCTACAAAGGTTCCAAATAACCAGATTTGTATTCTTTAATAATATATGCTGTTGTGCAGGGTTTCAAATTCAAAGCAATAAAAGTGATTGTTCAGTATGAAGTTTTAAAAACATTGTTGCTTGAATTCCATTAAACACATGCTTTTTTCATGGTTTCAGAACAAGAAATCCATTCTCCCTTTTTGTTTTATTTTAGTCATGGTGAGATCTGATATCAGGGTACTTTCCACAGTGTAAGAACTAGGTCTCACAGTTCTTTTCACAAGTGAGCAACCTCCTTCCCTCTATATCACTGTGTCTTAATAAATGGAAAGACTCCTCCAAATTAACCTGAATGTGGTAACTTCATGAAAACATCCATGTGGTGTGGTTTTTTTGGGGGGGGGAGGGGGAATTATCTGGAGGGCTCGGGATAGGGGATGTTCCTCTATCCTGGTCCTATTAGATCTCTCAACGGCTTTTGATACCATTGATCATGGTATCATGCTGCACCGGTTGGAGGGGTTGGGAGTGGGAGGCACCGTATTACGGTGGTTCTCGTCCTACCTCTCTGACAGGTCGCAGTCAGTGTTGACAGGTAGACAGAGATCGACCTCAAGGCCCCTTATTTGCGGGGTGCCACAGGGGTCGGTCCTCTCGCCTCTCCTGTTCAACGTTTATGTGAAGCCGTTGGGGGAGATCATCCGTGGTTTTGGGGTGCGATGTCATCTGTACGCTGATGACACTCGGCTGTACATCTCCACCACAAACCACCCCAATGATGCCCTTGAAGTGATGTCCCAGTGCCTTGAGGCTGTACGGGTCTGGATGGGGAGAAACAGGCTTCGACTCAACCCTTCCAAGACTGAGTGGCTGTGGCTGCCGGCGTCCTGGTACAGCCAGTTAGTCCCATCACTAACTATTGGGAACGAGTCATTGACCCCCGCAGAGAAAGCTCGCAATTTAGGCATCCTCCTGGATGCACGACTGTCTTTAGAAGATCATATAACAGCCTTGGCCAGGGGAGCTTTCTATCAGGTTCACCTGATTCGCCAATTGCGTCCCTTTCTAGACCGGGACTCATTACGCAGTCACTCAAGCCCTCGTCATTTCCTGACTTGACTATTGCAATGCTCTCTACATGGGGCTCCCCTTGAAGTGCACCTGGAAGCTCCAACTGATCCAGAATGCGGCCGCGCGAGTAATTATGGGAGCAACATGGCGCTCACATGTAACACCTCTTCTACACGAGCTGCACTGGCTTCTGATGGCCTTCCGAGTGCGCTTCAAGGTGTTGGTTCTTACCTTTGAAGTGCTCCATGGCTTAGGACCTGAGTACTTACGAGACCACCAGCTGCAACCGATAACCTCCCACCAACCAATATGCTCTCACAGAGTAGGCCTACCCATAGTACCATCGTTAAAACAATGTCGTCTAGTAGTTCCAAGGGAGAGAGCCTTCTCTGTGGGGGCGCCTACTCTTTGGAACAAAATACCCCCTGGAATACGAATAATTCCAGATTTTCGCACTTTCTGACGTGCCCTGAAGACCTTTCTGTTTCAACAAGCAGGGCTAGCATAAACATCTAAATTCTATGCCAAGGTCTTCGCAGATACACCAAGTTGACTCAATTTATTATTTACTGTTTATAAGGGGAAAAAAAATTATTATATGTATATGAAATCTTAATCTGTTCACCGCCCTGAGTCCTTCGAGAGAAGGGCGGTATAGAAATTCAATAAATAAATAAATAAATAAATAAATAAATAAATAAATAAATACATACATACATACATACATACATACATACATACATACATACAGATGTGGCTCACCACTGCCTCCTTATGAGAGTTGTTCCAACTGCCTGGTTCCCATCTCTGACCTTGTGATTTTCTGATGCAAGTGCTAAGTCTAGATCTATTTTTTTAAAGTTTAGCATAGGTTTCATAAATACTGCAATCTTAGATAAACTCAACTATTATTGGGTATTTTTAACTAAATGAAAGCTGTGTTGGAGAAAAGACAGATACTTACAATTCTTTAAGATTCTTCATTTGTAAAAATGTGTTTCCTTGAATTGACATGATTGCATTATTACTTAGATCTCTATAGGAGAAAAGAATAATGCAGATCAATTTAGGGCAAATTCTATTCCAAAAGGAAAAAAATATATATCTCATTGTAATTACACACAATAATTTAGCAATATTTCTGGATAAAAAATAACATTGGGTAGGGGAATTCTTTTGATGAATTAAAAAAAGATATTTCCATTTTTTAACAAAACTGTAAATGTATCTGGATTTTTAAGAAATACAGCTAGTCCTCGACTTACAACAGTTCATTTAGTGACTGTTTAAAGTTACAACGGCACTGAACAAAGTGACATGATCATTTTCACACTTATTTCACACTGCAGCATCCCCTTGATCATGTGATCAAAATGCAGAAGCTTGGCAATGACTCATATTTATGACGGTTGCAGTGTCCCGGGATCATGTGATCACCTTTTACAACCTTCTGACAAGCAAAGTCAATGGGGAAGCCAGATTCACTTAACATCCATGTTACTAACTTAACAACTGCTATGATTCACTTAACAACTGCGGCAAGAATGATAATAAAACAGGGAAAAACTCACTTAACAAATGCTTCACTTAGCAACATAAATTTTGGGCTCAATTTTGGTCATAAGTCGAGGACTACCTGTATGGCCTAAAGCACGAGAGGGGAAGGAAGAAATGATTAAAAAGGAAGAGATCTTAACTTCACATTGTGTGTCAGTTTTTTTTCTTTTCTTTTTTTAAAAAAGCCCTTTTTAATTCTTTAAACTTTATCCAGTTGAGGATCAAGGTTAAAAGATGATTGATATACTTCCTACAATGACAGAAGTTTGTTCTAATGTTTAAAAAAACCAGCATTCTTATAACAATGGTAGATTCCTTGATAAGCCAAAATTTCTTCCTGGAACTTCCTAGACCATATCACTATGCAATGTCATGAAGAGGTCGATACTTCTAAGAAACTTCTACTGTTCCAGGTATATTTGGCTTTCTTAAAAGCTCCAGAAAGACACAAGGATCTACTTTACTCACTTTGATAACAGAAATGAAAATAAAGACATTTTAGAAAGTAAGTATACCCCCTACTACCTACAATGTGGATTTTCCAATTGTGAATAAATGCTACTTGGACTGCAGTGACCTCCAACTGTTCCTAACAAAGCCTGGCATCAAATTATTTTTAATCCCTAACCCAGAAAAGTGTTCAAATTTTCTTTGTGGACAGTGCATTGCCAGCCCTAAGATTCCAGTAAGCAACTTTTTCTAATATTAGCACCACTGTATATTTTAGTAACTTTACTTAAGAATAATTTTCAAGTACTTACAGGTGTTCAAGTGCATCCAGACCAGAAAATGCTTTCTTAGTAATAGATCTAATTCTGTTCCCTTGGAGTAGCCTGGAAATAGAATATGTAATAGATGCAATAAAATAAGAAGTATATCTGGAAATTTTGATAATGCCTTTGGAGCCATATTTTATCATGTTGCAATTCTTTGCCTTTTAAGCTTCTTCCTGCCACAGTGATTCCATTTCCTAATTAGGTGCTTTTTTTGGTTCAATAACTAGAGCAAGGGTCTTCAAACTTTTTAAACAGGGGGCCAATTCATGGAGTGGCCAATTTAACAGTCTATTAAACAATGCACACAAATTAAACTTTAATTTGTTTTGCTCCTGGGGGTGTTTTATTTGCTTTTGTTTGCATGTTGCTCTTTTGGTTGACTTTTCTTTTTACTAGATTGTTTTTTCAGTTGTTTAGGAGTCTAGTGGTCCACTTCAGGAAACTCAGTTTTGCAGCAATTCTTCTCAGCCCCAAGGAGCTTGAGTAATCTCTCTCTGTGTCTCTATCTCTCTTTCTCTATTTTCTGGAGGTGGGGGAGATGAAAAACGGGCCCGTTTTTGGCCTCCCAGGGCATCCATATGCCCCGTTTCTCACCTCCCCCACCTCCAGAAGCATTCTGCAGGCCAAAAGTGGGTGAAAGCAGCCCATTTTTTGGCAAAAAACGGACCATTTCCCCCATTTTTTGGCCTCCTCGGACATCTGTGAGCCCCGTTTTTCACCTCCCCGCCTCCAGAACGTCCCTGCAGGCCAAAACTGTTGGCCTTGCCTTTCAATTCCAGCCCGCTGGGCTTGCGAAGGTAAGTCCTGTGCTTGGCCGAAGGGTGGGTGGGGCAGCCTTGTGGTCCTGTGTGGGCCGGATTAATGACTTCAGTGGGCTGCAGTTTGAGGACCCTTGAACTAGAGAGATGAAGACATTTTAAAAATGCTTATGAACATAATTTGGGAAAGCAATTATTTTAGGAATCCACACAACTCATCTGTTTTTTCCACCTGCTGGAGTTTGAAGAAAATATCTACATTCTAATGAAGCCTAGATAATAGTTTGCTCAATAAAATGTTGTCTCTGCACACAACTAATCAACGTTTCAATAATGTAATTACTTAAATATCTATAATGAATAAAAATAAGACATTTTGTAGTACTACATGTGACACTATTTTTATGTATTGCTTTTATTGGTTGCTTTATAAGGTTTTCAAGACAATAAGCAATGAAAGCAAGATCAATTTAAAACCCAAAACATCCTGTAAAACATATCCCAAATAACAGCATATAGTAGAACCTCTGGTTACAAACACTTCTGACTACGACCAAATCAGGTTTTTTTGTAAGTGCCAAATTTTCTGTTGTTTGTTTACAAACAACAGTGACCCATGTGTGGCCACTGCATTAATTTTGGTTAGGTTTGGTCACAACCAAATCGGGTTACGACCAAAGTTATGAAATGAATTATGGTCGTGACCAGAGATTCTACTGTACTATGAAAGAAAAATATGTAGTGATTAAAACAGATTTAATTTTAAAACAGATAAGCAAGATTAAAATATATAAGCAAGACCAGAAAAGCCACAAAATCAACAACAAGCTGAACTATATTTCAAATCCTTCTCAATATTTATGCATTAGAAAGATAGCATATCAAGGAAGAAACTGTTGAATTAAGATGATTACATAATTAAACATAAGCTCAAGGTTGACTCAGCCTTCCATCCTTTCAAAGGTAGGTTAAATGAGGACCCAGTTTGTGGGGGCAATAAGCTGACTTTGTATAAATATACAAAAGTATGAAGGCTATTGCTTAACGCATTGTAAGCCGCCCTGAGTCTCTGGAGAAGGGCGGCATATAAATCAATTTTTTTTTTTAAAAAAAAAAGTAACTTTGGCTACAAAGTCTCATAACATGTTATCTCCATTTTCCCATCTCCATCTTAGCTAGTTTTCACACTCCTGATCTTTGTCTCTGTCCACTATACAAGAAATAAAATAGATGGGCTTGATAAGAAAATTCCAGTTAAGCTTTATGGTGCAAGCATTGAAAGTACTGCAAAGATAATCTCAAAGAGAAAACATAAAGGTAGTGAGCAAGCAGGTGACATCAAAGTTAAATTCACATTGCAGACAGCTGCCATCTGGTCTAATATCAACTAGGAATTTTCCTTCCTCTGTGGTTGTTGTTTAATCTATGGGCTTTTGTGGAACAATAATAATAACCATCATTGCCACAAGAATAATAATGATATTAACAATGAAGATAATTATAATTTGCAAGAACTTGTGTCCTTTATAAACCTTCGTATCCAAGACCACAGAAGAAATATTCATCATTACTCAAATAGAAAAAAGAAAGTTATACTTACAGCCATTTAAGTTTGTGAAGTCCAGAGAAAGCACCATTCATATCTTCAATTGTCCATGAGATTTCATTATTTTTAAGGTCTCTGTAATGGGGAGGAAAGGATTTTAAATGTGTTTTCAAAATATGAAAAAAGATACACATATGTTTGAAATCACAACTTTAATTTGTGTAACTCTTAGTTTATAATCTTTTATCTGTGTTTGTGTGCTTCTGAGTCAATATCGACTCCTGGCAACTACCTAGAGAGGTTACTGCAGTTTTCTTGGCAATGGAAAGTTTTCTTTCCATTACCTTCTTCCTGGGTCTGAGAGACAGTGACTGGCTCAAAATCACCCAGCTGACTTTGTGACTAAGGGGGGACTAGAAGCAATGTCTTCTGGTTTCTAGCCTGACACCTTAACTACTACACAAAGTGACTCTTGGTCTGCAGTTTAGATCATGTTAATACCTATTCTGTGGAGAAAAAAAGACTCAATATACTATTCAGTTCAATAAGCATTGATCACACTTTTTTCAAGTCATAAACTAAAATTCAATTTTATGGTATCCTGCTGATTTTAATGCTGTTATCAAAAATACAGGGCTTTTATGGATCATAAAAATATTTTGGCTTCCTCATTAGAAGATCTGCTATGCCAGTAGCAAGTGAGGGGAGTTAAAAAGGCAAACAGGCTACCTGTAACAGAGACTAAACAGTTGGATTAATGTATATGAATGGGACCAAAGACCAGACACTTCTTACACGTCTAACAAGTTATTACAGATGACCCAAAGAGAGTTCAAGAGGTTAAGATCATTGTCTGATTTACATGTCATAATAGGAGTTGGAGTACAGCTATCCCCATCAATGGAACATATAAACATATAAATCAATGGAACATGTAAACATTGGTGCATGTGGGCAACAATAGCAAGTAAATGAGTGAGTGCTTCTATAACAACAGCAACAATAAGTGATGTTTCTTGTGGTTCCCATTCTTTTCCATTATGCCATTATGCAGATTACAAACCATCATTAAAAGCTTTTCAGTGTAAACCCGCAGCAAGGAGTTGGCAACAATGTTCCTGTGAGTATCATATGATAAATGACCTCAAACATTCACTGTCTGAAAATCCAAAATTATTGTGAGAAGTTTTATATCCAAATATATTTTATTCTTTATACTGTTTCCATCTTCCCTTAAAATATTAACATAATTCACAATGGTCTGAGAATCAGTGTCTCCAAATTAGGAAACTTCCTCAAACCCTGAAATATATTACCCAGACCTAATAATCCACAAATCAAAAGATAAAGTCTGCAAACACTAATAGAATTAATTACATTAAATCTCCTAGAAGAGATCTACACACACACACACACATACTCAGCACGTAGATATTTCCACACCCTGGACAAGCTCCCTCTCTGAAAGTTTGCCACTGTACCCCATTTCTCTGCAGCCTATCCCTAAAAGCAAACTGTTTTACTTTTAGGAATAAATATTTCTTCTTTCCTCACAGCTGTCTAGATCTCATTTTTATTTATTCCTATGCAACCCCGGCTCAAGTTGGAACCCCAAATTATTTTTCTGACATTAAATATGAAATTCTATCTCCAAATCTCCCAATATTTTGTGTTCCTTCCCAAAATCTTGCTGTTGGAGTTACACACACACACACACACACACACACACACACACACACACCCGCCTCGTGATGGCACTATATGGCATGTTTTGTATTATAATTCCTTATTTCAATAACTATTTGTCTAGGACTCAGGGGTCTGCAACCTTAAACACTCAAGAACCATTTGAACCCATTTCCCAAAAGGAAAAAAAAACACCAGGAGCCACAAAGCCTGGGTGGGCGTGGCCAACTCGATGTCACTCACTCCCACCCAATCACATGACCCCTTAGCCATGCCTACCTAGCCATAAAACCATTCTCTCTTTGTCTCTCTCTCCCCCTCCCCCTCTGTATCTCTCTGCCCCTCTCCCTCTCCCCCTCTCTGTATCTGTCTCTCTCCCTCCTCTCTATCTCTCTCTCTCTGTATCTCCCTCTACCCTTTTCTCTCCCCCTCTCCCTATCTTCCCCTCTCTCCCCCTCTTTCTTTTTTCCCCATTTTTTTTATTTTTTTAAAACATAAAACATAAAATACATCGTTTTAGAGTAAGGGTTTGGTCTGGCATAAAATGAGTACAATTATTCACATTCCCTCAATCAATTTTGTTCCAAATTTTATCCATTTACATCTTTAAAAAGAAAAAAGAAAAAAATCTTATTCTAAACATTTATCATTCTACTATTACACCCAAAATTCTAAACAATAAACACTGTTCTAAATCTTTATCATTTTAACAATCAATATTTCATATATGTTCCTCAATCCTAAAACCCATTACCTCAAATCTATATTTTACTTCTCTTAAATGACATCTAATATCCATAATTTTGACAAAAAGTATTTTCCTCCTCTCTTAAAGTCATTGCATAAACAATCAACATTTCCTTCTATAGTTTGTTACTTCCACAATACTTTATTTTATTTATTTCAAGTTTATTCTCATATTTTATTGAATCTAATTTTTAACTGGTTCACAGTTTAGCTACTATTCTCCGGTAAAATCTCTTCCACTTCCTCCTAAATTTATTTTTTAGCTGGTTCGCATCTTAATCAGCTGCTTTCCAGCAATGCTTTCCTCCACTCCTTAATTATTTTAGCTGGTTCCCAGTATAATTTTAACTGCACACCAACCTTCTCCCTTAACTCCTCCTAAATCTATTATAAAACTGGTTCACAACTCAAGTAGTTGTCTTCCAGCAATGCTTTCCTCTACTCCTACCCCTATTTTTAACTGGTTCACAACTTTATTTCAATTGATCCCTAGGTATAGTCTCCTCCACTCCTAACTTTTTATTTTTGACTAGTTCACAGTTTTGCTTTAACTGTTGACCAGCGTATGCTTTCCTCCACTCCTACCTTATTTGTAAAACTGGGTCATAGCTTTGCTTTCACTGATCTCCAGAGTCATGCTTTCCTCCACTCCTAAATTCATTTATTTAACTAATTCATAACATATATCTCTTATTCAGTTGCTTAGCTCCAAATTACTTTGGAATATGTTACCAATATTGTTTTCCAATCTATTCTCCTCCATATCTCTTACCAATTTAAGATAAAAGTATATTTCAATAAATATCTTATCTCCTATTCTCTCTTAAGTTTTCTCCCATTCCATGCTTATTTCTTATTTTCAACAAGAAACATTTTGAAACACTTTAAAATCAAATTTTTATGGTTCTTAATTCTATAAATAATTCTTTTTAACATCCAACGGCTTTAAAAGTAAATATTTTCTTCCAGATTATTAAATCTTTAAGTAGTGCTAGTTAAAAATTCAAAATTTAAAAAGGCATTAGAACATGCAAAAATCATGTTTTTCTTCAATCATTTATGCTCTTATTTCTTAATCAAATTGTTTATATATTTATATGAAAATAATAAAAAAAGGAGAGAGTAATTTGCTATTATTTACAATAATATTACAATAAATATTATTGTAATACAATAAATATTATTGTAATACAATAATATTACAATAAAAGAAATACAAAAAAAATAAGGCAACATTAAAAAAAGGAAAAAGGAAAAAGGAAGAGAGTAGAAATATAACAAAAGAAGTAAAATGGATTAAAAAAGAAAATAGAGAGAGGAAAAGAAAAAAAGAGAAGGATACTACAAGAAAGAAATAGAGAGAGAGCATAGAGAAGAAAAAAAAAAAGAAAGAAAGAAACTATCTCCTAGCATTATTCAACCACCCAGAAACCGTTACATTCATTTAAATCAAAATATAATATTTTGTTGTCTTGTTGCATAATATATTCCATTATTCCTTTCTCCAGTCTGTCCAAGTATGTATCTTTTCCATTTCAATGTCATCAAAGTTATGAGTTCTACATATCCCATATATATGGTATCATCATGTCCTTCTTCTATTGCCACACCCTTCTTTTATTGCCACGTTTATTTATTTTTTATTTTATTTTTTATTTTTTTATTTTTTTTTATATGCCACCCTTCTCCGGAGACTCAGGGCTGTTGTGGCCCCGCCCTCTGAGCCTGTTCCATCGGAGGAAGAAAGCTCCGAGCATGAGGAAGAGGAGTCAGCCAGGCCTCCCTCTCCAGGCCCCTCCCCTCTGGCACTGTCTCAGGTGCCGGCCGAGGGAGAGGAGATTAGCAGGGAGACAGGTGGCTCGGATGAGAGCGAGGGAGAGACATCATTCCTGGACGCATGCCTCCGAAGGCGTGATAAACGATTGCAGCAGCTCAGGAGGCGTGCTAGGGATTAGAACTGAGTCACTGGACCACACCCCAGAGACTATATAATAGAGGGTGGTGGCCAGCGATCCCTGTGACGAACAAAAATAAACCTTGGATAGTCACTAAACCCTCGTCCGGAAACTGCTGAGAGGAATATTATTCTGATTGGACTTTTGTACGCTAAGTATCTTATCTTTCTGTTTTGTGGAAATAAATGCACTTGGCAGACGGTGTGTAAATCGCTGCCAAGTTGGAGATAAAGACCTGGGTGTGTGCCAAAGTGTTTCCTTAACCCTCGGCTGGCTGTGTTTGTGTGTGTGTGTGGACGGGGACAGATCAAGGGTGGCTTACAATGCGTTAAGCAATAGCCTTCATACTTTTGTATATTTTATACAAAGTCAGCTTATTGCCCCCACAAACCGGGTCCTTATTAGTTCAGCTTTCATTGTTCCATTTAATTTCTTCTTTCTAATCTTCAATAAATCCTCAATCAAGTTCTCTGAGTCTTTTCCTCAAAATAGTCAAGTTTAAATAACAAGCAACAAAGTTTCTCATTTCAAGTAACAATCAGCCTGGAATTTACACTTTCCCTTTTCAGCTGGCAACCATTTTATCCATCTCCGTTTGTCTTTTCCCTTTGCTTTTGAAGGCATAATTATTTCCTCTTCTCCTTCCTCTCTCCCAAACATAGTCCAATCTCATTTATCCACCAAAAAGTAAAGAAAAAATATATCCAGATCTGTAGTCAAACATTTCCAAAAAGTCAGTAATTTATGTTATCCACCAACAGGTCTTTTGTCTTTGTGCCCCAACAGTTCTCAGCCGCTGTTAAGGCTGGGGCAGACTAATTGTAATTCAGTGTTTATGGGCAGTTCCTGCCTGGGTTGATGTCCACTCACCCGGCATACAAACTCCTGGCTCCGTTCTCCGTTTCTCCTCTTCTCCTCCTGCGCATTCTTGTATCCCGGTTGCCGCGGTCTCAGGGCAGCCGCCATGGTCGCCGTTCCACCACCTCCGGCACAGAGGGCAAGCCTCTGGCCCTGAGGAACCTGCCCGTTCCTCTCGGCCGTCCGAGGGTTCCTCTCTATCCTCATGTCCCTACAGGACAGGGTAGGTCCAATGACCTACTGGCGGGGGCTTGGCAGACGGGGTTTTCGTGGGGCTCCGAAGAACCCGCTAATTCCCCATCTGTATCCCCGCGGCGCCAATCAGAAGTCCTCTCCCCCTTTTTCTGTATCTCTCTATATCTCTTTCTGTGTCTCTCTCTGTCCCTCTCCCTATCTTCCCCTCTCTCCCCACTCTATCTCTCCCCCTCTCCTCTCTCCCCTTCTGTGTGTCTCTCTCTCCCTCTGTATCTCTCCCCCCTATCTTCCCCTCTCTCCCACTCTCTCTATCACTCTGTATGATATCTCTCTATCTCTCTCCGTCTCTGTGTGTGTGTGTGTGTGTGTGTGTCTGAAAGCTGCGGCTGGACCAAGCCAGCATGCGTGGGGTGGGTAGCCGCTTGCTAAAGGAGGGTCTCCCCATGGTTGCACACCCTCCCGGCCCCACCACACCACCACCAAGAGGAGAAGGAGGGTGAGGAGAAAGAGGAGCCTTAGTGCTGGAGTGAAGCAGCCCTGGGCCTGCCTTTGTGCCACATTTGCATGTAAGGCAGCCTTCGCTTCCTGCCCCTTCGGACTGGGGCTCACACCCTCCGCACTCGACCGAAGAGCTGCCGGGGGGGTGACACGGCAAGGCGATGGCCGGAGCCCTAGTGCAGGAGAGAAGCCACGTCCTGTTGCATCTTGTTAAGATCCTCCTTAAGCGAGCGGCCACCCACTCCATGCATGCCTTTGTTGCGCTTTGGCACTCGCTTGAGAAGGGTCTCCCCACGTATGCATACCCTCCCAGTCCCACCACAGCTGGCCAGGGGGTCACGAGAGGAGAAGGGTCACCTGAAGGGAAGCTCAGCCAGCCCAGATTTTGAAGAAGAAATAAAAGGAGTAGCAAGGAGCCCCAAGGAGAGCTTGCTGGCTTGGCCCAGCTGTGATTTTCCGAGAGAGAAAGAAGAGATTCAGAGACATAGAGCAAGAGAGATACACAGAGAGAAAGAGAGAGACATAGAGAGGGGGATACCGGCTGATGGGTGAGCGTCTTTGATGAGGACTTTCTCTGAGCCTGACCCCCGGGATGGGTGTGTGAGGTTCAGCGAGGCCAGCTCCCTTTTCCTGCTGCCCTGCACTTCTTAAAGCCATGGCTGGGTGCTGCTGGCCCTTCACCCTTCCGAAGTCCCCTCCTCCCAGATCCTATTCCCACTCCGCCAGCCCTCGTGTTAGCGAGGCCAGCGTCGGTCATGGCTGGGCCAGGCCAGTGTCTCAGGGCAGAGAGCAGGTTGCACATCTCCCCAAGTGACCGAGGCACGCCCAGCACCAACAAGGGCCAGAAGAAGCTCCACAAGAGTGAGATGCCAGAGAATCAGCCCCGGCTGCTTCTCCATCCCTCACCATCACCCTTACCTTCTCAGGCCAGGCGAGAGAGAGAGGAGGGTGAGGGATGAGGCCAGCCAGTGATGGGATAGGGAGCTACAGCAGAGCTCTGGAGCCGCGGGTTGCCGATACCTGGTCTAGGTTTTTAACACATAATTTAAAATGGAAATTCATGAAAGAATAAGCAATATGTTTTTCTTAGTTTTGGTGCTTTTAAAAAGTCATTGATTCTAAGTCAATCTGTATTAAGAAAACTGCATCTATTACTGAGTTTTCCTTCATAAGTTTTTCAGATCCATTACAAAAAGACAACATTGTTTTGTTACATCTTAATTGTTTTATATGGAGTAGTGCAGTGTTTTTTAACCTTGGCGACTTTAAGATGTATGGACTTCAACTCCCAAAATTCAAATGCTGGCTGGGGAATTCTGAAGTTGAAGTCTACGCAATAGTTGAGAAACACTGGAGTAGTCTTTAGTTCTCATAATTTTCTTTATATAACACAGAATTGTGAACCTCTCAGAGACATTTGCTGAGATGGGTGGCTATAGAAATCAAATAGATAGATTAGATAGATGATAGCCAGCCAGCCAGCCAGCCAGCCAGACAGACAGACAGATCTTTAAACAAGTTTTCTTGAAACTTACAGAGTTTGTAAACTGGATAGTCCCCGGAAGGCACAATCTGCAATGTAGCTGACTTTGTTGTTCCCGATAGCTAGCCTTACCAGTAGGCTTAAACCAACAAAATTTGAATCTTCTAGTTTTGCTAAATTATTGTAAGTTAAATCACTGCAAATTTAAAAAAAATGAGGGCGAATGTTGTTTTAAATCAGCATAAACAAAACATTCAAGCTAAGAATATAACTTCTTAATTAGTTTCAGAATAATTTATTTTTAATTTCAAGTTTGTGGCTTATTTTCCATGACATGTAATATTATTGCAGAATTAGTTTCTATTATTTGAAATTACCATAACAAAGTCCAAGTGTTACTGGTACAAAGAAACATAATTGGCTTCAGGTTCTTACAATAAAGCATCAGTGAATTCAGCACATGCACATAAAAGCAAATGCACTGCCATTATGTAAAGTGTTTCTTTCAGTCATACTTTGGCCTGCACCCTACTTTTATAACAGAGGAGAGCTAAACATACACACACACATACAACATACACTACTCACAGCTCTCTGAGTTTTTGGCAAAACTCCCAGGCATCAGGTCTGATCCTGTTGATTGCATTTTGGCTAAGATGAAGCTGCTCTAACATCAACAAGCCATAAAGCCAGCCTTTGGAAATCTCTGTTAGGTTGTTATAATCCAGCTGCCTAAGAATACAAAATGAAAAACCAATTTATAGCTGCAAGCTTTAACAATTTAAAAGATATCAAGTATCTTTCTCATAAAAACAAGCTAGAAAAAAATTATCATTTTGTATTTTGTACATAAATATTTTGTGAACAAATTAGTCCTCAAACACAATGAATTGTAATACTCAGAATGGTTGTTTCTTGAAAACCATGAAAACATGCACTTACAGAATTTCCATGTTACTTAATCCCCAAAAAGCTCCATCCATGAGCCAAACAAGCCCATTTTTCTGTATTTTTAATGATTTCAAAGAAGGCAGTCCTTGAAAAGTAAGTCCATCTATTTTTTTAATTCTGTTACGGCTCATCTCTCTGAAGGGAGAAAAATATTCCATGTTATTGTAGGTAAATTCAAGTTTCTAAGCACTGTGTACGTGTGTGGCCCTGTCTTTATATGTTTAACAGAAGTACAAAACATTCTTTTTCAACTAGACTTCTCTTAACAAAAATATATTAAACTCTAAGGCATGACAATGCCAATAATTTTGAATACCTTTGAAGTCTATTTTATTTTATTTTTTAAAAAAACTTGAAAATTATGTTGCCAGGAATTCAGGGGATTAAGTTAATATTTTAGGAAGTTATTTGCTATCCATGGGTGTGTGCATCTGTGTGTATTTGGTGCTACTTCTGATATTCTCTTATGGAACGTTTAAAACGTTGGTTAAATTTGCTGTACATGACATCTTTTTTGGCACCTTAATTTTTTAAACTATGTTCTATATGAATCTTTTCTGTCACTTCTATGATTGTTATTCCTTTTACCCATGCAAACTCTGGAGCAGTTTTTTCTTTCCCCACATCTCAAATCTTCTGTAATTTAAAATTTAACTAATAAATTATTACAAGCAATAAAAAAGAATAATTCAGAAAGTACATGCTAGATTTACTGTGATGCAGCCTCTCTTTAAGCTTTTGTAGTGACTCTTATGAACCCCCTCAAATATTAAACTGTTAGCCTTTTACATATTCAGGTTCTTGATATTTTTATTTATTTATTTATTTCTATCCAACCTTTATTATTTTTATAAATAACTCAAGGAGGCAAACATATCCAACACATCTTCCTCTACCACAACAACAGCCTTATGAGATGGGTTTTAATAATGATAGAAACATAAGTCCAGTTCTTCTGAAATAGTCACTTATATATTTCCAGGCATTGTTATCATACCTAATTAAAGTTTTAATTAAACTTTCAGTAATTTACTATGTGTCCTACTCAGATTATTTCTGAGTTCCATCTGTGAATGTGCTCCCATCTGAGACCCCACTACTTCTGTTTATTAACTTTTTTATTCTGTACTACACAGCTACTTATCATCTCTTTGAGAGGCAAGTATTTCTTTGTGTTTCTAATATCTGACATTTCTCTACTAATTTTCGCACATTGCAGTTTACACATTCAGTATTTTTATCAGTTTTTCACTTTACTTTTCTTAACAAAAGTAATCAGTCATCAAGGAGATTACTTTAGTCTGGGAATGGGATAGTGAATGATGAGGGTTCAGCCATGTGGGGAAGAACAAGTAGCTTCTTTCTTGGTGCAGCCAGCTTTTTACAATGTACCCTATCAATATTTTTAGTGATTTACTAACAATGAGAGAAAAGAATCTAAAGAGAATGTCTTATTTTCCTTCTATATACAGTAACACTATAAACTAGTGATCACCAACTGGTGGTCGTGGACCACTGGTGGTCCGCGAGAAAATTTTGGTGGTCCACAGAAAAATTATTTGCATTTTTTATATTGCACTAAATCAGGGGTCCTCAAACTACGGCCCCTGGGTCGGATACGTGCAATGAATGTTTGTGTTGCTGCAGCGTCTCCCCGCTTTGGGATCTTTTTGTGTGGGTCAGAGGGGGACAGAAATTCTGACTCGGGGTCTGCTTCAGCCTCCTGGTGCGGGGCTTTGGGTGAAGGCTGGAGGGAAATGCACTGGTAGCGAAGAGCCAGAGGGCCTTGTTCCAGTGGGACTGCATCATGGCCTGGAACTGGCTGACTATCTCAGCCCACTGAGCCTCCAGGTGCCGGTACCTGGCCTTACATTCCTGCAGGTCTTCCCTCTACTTGGAAAGCCTATGCTTGTAGTTCTCAGTGAGGTGCTTCTGCTGACCCTCCTTCTTGGTCAGATCCAATTTGAACTGAGCTGTTTTGCCAACTCTTTCTCATGGTGGCTGCTTGGCTCCAACAACTGCTTCCTGTTGGAGCCCTAAGGAGCCCGTGCAGGCAGGGGAGGAGGGGTGGGAGGGGAGGGGCAAGTAGAGGCAGGTGAGGCACCTGACACGAGTGACATCAACTTGGCCACACCCATCCAGTCACATGACCACTTAGCCATGCTCACCCAGCCAGTCATTAGGCAGATTATATTAGTTGTCCGCGGGATTTATAATTATGAATTTAGTGGTGCCTGAGGTCCGAAAGGTATTACAAGTATTTTATTCAGGCAATGCAAACAAAATAAATTAATATGAAATATGAAAATTTCTACCAAGGAGCCTTGGTAGTACAGTGGTTTAATGCACCCTGTTATTAACACAGCTGCCTGCAATTTCTGCAGGTTCGAATCTTACCAGGCTCAAGGTTGACTCAGCCTTCCATCCTTTCTAAGGTAGGTTAAATGAGGACCCAGTTTGTGGGGGCAATAAGTTGACTTTGTATAAATATACAAAAGTATGAAGGCTATTGCTTAACGCATTGTAAGCCGCCCTGAGTCTCCGGAGAAGGGTGGCATATAAATCAAATTTTTAAAAAAATTAAAAAAAAATTCAGAAAGTGGGGCGAGAATTGTGTTTTTGTTGCATCTAAATTTGTCCTGAGTTTATGTGATTGCTAATAGGGCTAATGCTCAACCACTGAAGGAAGCCTGCAAAAATCACTGAAAGGAACAAGGCAGTTGGAGGATGTACTCACAGATGTTGGAGATGGGGAAGTTTAAACATCTTCTGTGGAATGGTTGAAATGCGGTTTTTGTTCAGCTTCAAGACTTGAAGTTTATTAGCCAAGTTGTCAAAAATGCCTGGTTCCAGTGAAACTATCCGATTGTTGCTAATGTGGCTGGGAAAGAAGTGCAGAATAACATATCTGAAAATGTTTAAATTCAGTACTCAAATCCTAGTCATCTGCTGTTTACTCATCTTAATCTTCATTTTAAAAGTCCTTGTCCTATCAGAGGATAAGTATCACTTTGAACAGTTCTTAAAAGTCAGAGAATCCCCCACATTGATTCCAAAGAAATATAATTTACAATTTACATTAATCCTGAAATGACAGTAATTTAAAAATATTCTAAATTTTAAATATTTTAAAAATATTACATTGAAAGATGTGATTCTTTTTCACAAAAGCGTCACAAATACCTATTGTTTTATTATTTAAATATTGACTCAATTAACAGAACACTAAGAATACTTTGTCAGATAATTGTCTCTGCCTTTAAAAAAAGTATCATAATTAGGATGAAAAGGATTAATGAATGAATCAGTTGGTACAGTCAACGAAGTCCAGTGAATTTTCGTTTGATTAAAGTGATGGTTCTCTCTTGAGATTCTGACTGCTGTCCTATACAAGTTGTAATGGACATTCCTGACTCTAAATTGTAGGCATTATGTTCACCACTACTTAGTTTGAAGCTATGAGAACAGACTTCTATACAAATATAACATCCACTGTGCATAGAGTGATGATAACATATTAAGAGCCTGGTGGCGCAGCAGACTAATAGCCTGTTATTAACATTCAGCTGCCTGCAATTACTGCAAGTTCGAATCTCCCCAGGCTCAACGTTGACTCAGCCTTCCATCGTTTCTAAGGTAGGTAAATTGAGGACCCAGTTTGTGGGGGCAATAAGCTGACTTTGTATAAATATACAAAAGTATGAAGGCTATTGCTTAACGCATTGTAAGCCGCCCTGAGTCTCTGGAGAAGGGCGGCATATAAATCAAATTAAAAAAAAAAACATGAACAAAAAGCAAAATCTGCTCAAAGAACTATACCCCCCCAATTATCTTAATAATAGAGTCATGTGAATATGTGTTATTATTTTGAATTTGATATTCAATCAATTCTAGCCAGGAACTGGATAGCACAATAGAAAATTAACAAGTTCCAAAAGTACACTGGTCTGTATGGGCATTTTTAACCTATTTTCTTTAAGGCCAGATGTTAGGAGCAAAAAAAGAAAAAGAAAAAATCCCAGTCGGGAATCCATATCCATAGAGCTTTTTGTGAATCACTATGAACCTCTTCAGATGCCAGAGTTCCCTGATTACATTAATGGATTGAAAAGGTTTTTTAAAAGAAAATTTTGGATGAAATGAAAGCTTGAACTTAACTTACAGTTTCTTGAGCACCAGTGGAGGAAATGACCCCATCTCAAGCACAGAAATATTGTTGTTGCTGAGATCTAAAGTTTCGAGGGATTGAAATAGTTTCAGTTCTTCAGGAAGAATGTTCATGATCTTGTTATTTATCCTGAATTAAAAATTAGCAATCACATTAAAAACAACTTCTGGACCACTGACAAGCTTTATATTTCCCAATAGTTTAGTTAAATCATATACACAGGCATGCATAGGATCACCATCATACTTAATACTTAAAATACTTAAAATTACTAAGTACCAAATAAAGATCTAAAAGTTTTGAAATGGAAGAAGAGAAAGGGAGGAATGCAAGCAAAAGAAGTATCATAAAATAATTTTGAACTCTGAATCAGAGTTCACTAAAAGACTTATAGACAATAAAATTAAAGCCATTTTATAAGCCGCAAGTGCTGTACATGAACAGAAAAGAGAATCTACCTGTTCCCAGCCACAATGTTAACACATTACAATTAAACAAAAGTTAGAGAAAGTGAGAGGAAAGAAAACATTTTCTTCCAATAAAAACAGGGGAGAAAAGAACAAGAACTAAAAGAATAAATAGAAATTGAAAGTATTATGGTAATCAAAGAAATAAGATTTCTCTTTTTTGAAGTTACCCAGTGATGAAGCAAATCAAAAATTTAAAAGCCCAGTTACAAAAACAACTGAGAAAAGAGGTAGAATGATATGAAATAGTACAAGAAAGACCAAATCAAATTAAAACTGAAGATAGAACAAATGACGGACAAAGGGGCTATGAGGAAATAGGAGGGATGACCAGAAGATGAATCTAAAGAACAGAGTGATATGTAAGGAGAAAATCAAGGAGAAAACCTAAAAAAGAAAGTTTATCTAATAAACAAGAGGAAATCATTTATTCCATAATAATATCAATAATATCAATATACATAGTTGAATTAAATTCGGTTGATATATTTTAAATATGTTATGAATTTGTGAGACAATCAAGAAGAGTATCACCACAATTGCGATGAGAAACAGCCAACAGAAGAAAACAGGCTTTTGATTATAGCATTTACATGATATAAAAATATCGGAATTGTGTATTTCTGCTACAGTGTTTGCAGATATCATATTCTAAATTAAATACAATTATTTGGGAAAAAGAAATGAGTCAGAATTTCCTGAGGATTACTCCAGCAAAGGAAATTATCTTCTCTATTTCTGAACTTTCAGTTCAGAGTACTGATATTAGATATCTGGTTAACTAATATTGAAATATCCTATCCTTCTTCATAACTCTATAAAGTGACTTCCGCTCTTCGAGGAAAATTACAGAAAATTGATCTCACTGCAGATAACAGTGTGCAGGCAACAAAAGTGCAGTTCCACATCATTACAGAGAGGTTTTTAATGTCTCTACCACAATTGTACATTATGTCAAGACATTTGATTCTAATTACAGAATGATTATAGTTTTCAGGTCCAAAATTAAGAAATAGGCGGTCCTTATTGTTATAAAGGTAATTCCAGATTTTAGAGGATGCTAACATTGCTTGAGTGGGTTTTCTCCTATGTTAATCCTTGCCTAGCTTTGTATCAGATAGCTACAAGCTGAAACAGTATCCTAGGAAGAAACCAGAAAGGAGGATAAATTTAGAATACCAGTTTGTAGACTCCACTGTAATGAAATGTATGGATGGCATTGGGGGACGAGGAAAAGAGATCTGCCTAGGAAACAATCGAGAGGAGAGAGAGAATCCAAGGACTTAATAGTCAGAAAAGAAATTTAGGAATGACCCACCCTAATTGATTAAATGGTTAGAAGTGGTGGTGGGATGTTCAGATTGGCAATATTCTAATAATGTAGCCCTACAATAAAGTAGATTTAACTCACTGTGTCATGTTTCCTGTCTGGTGTACCTGGGGCTAGGGCTGATATCAATTGAGCAAAATGAAATTATGAAAAAGTTGTTCTAATTATCTAAACTTGGATGTTTAGATGTCCGGTTGATGGGAAATGTGACTAATAAGCGTTTTGATAAATCAAGTAAATATATAATTGGCTCTGAACTTGATGAGGAATTAGAATGGGAAATTGTCCAAATACTTCTGCTAACATAAGTTTTTCTGTTAGGCAACTGCTGAGCAAAAGGAACTTAAAGAGCAGAAACTTAACATGCATATTTTTGTCTGTCTGTCCTTCCTTAGCTATTTAAAAATTGTATCATTTGAAATATTCTGAATACATCAATTTAGCACTCATTCAGAACAAGCTGTTTCTAGTTAAAATAAGATGTCTGGCAAACATAGTGTCTAAAAATGCATTAAAAGGAAGTTGTAAGACTGTTATTAATTACCACTCACAAATTTTTTTTGACACACACATAAACACAAAACAGAAGTTGTGGATTAACTGGTCACAGCAGATGAGAAAACAAGAAATGCTGTTTTTTTATGCTCAGATATTGTTCTCAATCAGCATCAACTTTCAGTCTTGCTTAGGTCTAGTACTGAGCCATTAACTTTTAATTCTTGGCTAGAAAGATTTACTTAAACAAAATATCTTTAAAAAATAACAATGTGTTAGATTTATTAGCAATCAAGACAAGAAGAGATCACACGTTTATCAGGCCTTAATAAATTGATTACTAACAAGCCATTAACTGCCAATGACTAAGTGCCAAATAAAATTTTCCTTGCTGCAAAAGTATAACCTCGACCAGCAATTTCCTGAACTCTATGGCTCCTGATTTGCAATGTGAAAAACATTCAGTTAAGCTAACAGAACATACACTCAGTTTTTGGGTCATCACTGTTTCATAAAACTGGTTTTTTCCACAACTAGTTGGATAAGGTTGCTTGTATCATGAGGTTTAGTGGTTAAGTAATGACTGCAAGTAATTCCACCCTCAAATTAGATTAACGGCCTAGCAAATTACTTGAGGCAGTCTGTTTTATAGACAACCTCCATTAGAGTTTTATATGGGACTGCAAGGAGAGAACAGCAGATGAGACATTAATGATTTAATTGCATTTCAATGTAGTCCAGAGACACTCTCAATAGTTAAGACATGAAACATTTTGTTGGCTGCTATCTGAAAAGGGGCCTGTCTTCTCAGGAAAACATTACTATATGGAGCAGATTGATCTACCAGTAGTTGGTTTTCAGATCTCAGGCACATTGTTTGAGTGCAATTAAGTGCTCAGTCATAGCCACTGCGACATGGGTGTACACATAAAAAACAGAACTGCTGTATTTTTTGATGATTCATTACTCATTAACATCTCTTAAACAGTGATAGCCAAGTTGATCCATAAGACTCCCACACACACCAAATTCTTCATTACAGCAATATTTGTATTAAGATCAACCAAAATAGTGCATATTTTTGAAGTTACAAAAAGAGGGATGAAGAAAAATCAAAATTGCAATAATGTATTTGAGTCACAAACTCTGCAAACTCAATCTCAAAATTGTGATTTTGGCAGACCAAGGACATTAGGTAGTAATAAGATTGTTGAAATCAGATTACTTTTTACATTCTGAATGCCATCAATCCCCAATATTTTTGATTTAATTTTCAGTTGCCCTATCTCTATTAAAGCATTTGGGAATGGCATTACTTACATAACTTTTTTTTAATTTGAACTATTTGGGTGATTAATTTAGACTAACCTCCAAAAGGGAAGGGAAGTTTCGGAAGTTTCAGAATAGAAAGTTAGAAAGTTGAACACCTTTCATATGCGCTGTCTCCAATGAATTCTTGGCATCACCTAACAGGACAAAGTTCCAAATAGTGCAGTCTTGGAACGTGCTGGAATTTCTAGCATGTATACACTATTGAAACAGCAACGTCTATGCTGGCTGGGGCATGTCATGGGAATGGCTGATGGTCGGATTCCGAAAGATCTCCTGTATGGAGAATTAGTGCAGGGAAAGAGCCTCAGAGGGAGACCACAGCTGCGATATAAGGATATCTGCAAGAGGGACCTAAAGGCCCTGGGAATGGACATTAACAACTGGGAAACCTTGACCTCCGATCGTTCAGCTTAGAGGCTAAAGACGCAGTATGGCCTTCTCCAATTCGAAGAGACACTTGTTCGGCAGGCTGAGGCAAAGAGACAGTCCCGGAACCAGCGACATCTGGGGGCTGGGCAGGGGACAGAATGTATCTGCCCTCAGTGTGGAAGGGATTGCCACTCTCGAATTGGCCTTTTTAGTCACACTAGATGCTGTTTTAGGACCTCTTTTTCAGAGCACGATACCATAGTCTCTTGAGACTGAAGGATGCCAATGAAATAAAACATTTGCCAAGTCAACTTAAGCTATTTTATATTTAGAAATCACCCCTATGTAAAAATGCTTACAAAGTGATCTTCCCAGCAAATATAATTTAATTTAGAACAAATGAAGCAAAACAAAACCTCTCCACCTAAGCTGGCATTGATTGATTGACTATAGGTTTTTAGTGTAACATTTTTGCAATGTCTGAAGTTTCAACATTGTCCACTAAACAGGTCTTCCTCCAATTTATACAAGAACTTTCTTTCTGCAAATTCTATGTAATTCTATTGAGATATTTTAAACAATTAAGTGAGGGAGGGTTGCATCTCCTTCAAATAAGCCTACCCACATAATGACTATAGTAGGAAAGGGCAGTGTAGAAATAAAGGATTGCAGCCTTGGAGGACAGGCTAGATGGAAATCATCATGGAGCATTTCCATTTTTTTTTTGAATTTTTTTTTTTTTTTAAACAAAACATAAAACATAAATCCATCATCCATTACAATTGCAAACAGTGTGTCGGTCGGTTACAAGTCTTTTGTGCTTCATCCCCATATTCAAAATTTACTAATTATCTAATTTCTCATATTATCAAACAAATAAGTATCCTCATTTATCATTTATTTAACTATGGCTTTACCGTTTCATAAAAATTATTTTCAAATATTATAACATTCATTTCATCTTTCATATTTCATTTCCATGTTTTATTATCTAGCCATTGATAAAATAAATCCCGTATCTTATAATATTGTTTATCTTCTTGTTCTCTAATTTCAAATGTCAATTTACTCATTTCAGCCCATTCCATGATTTTCTTAATAACTTCGTCTTGCGTTGGTACTTTCTCATTTTTCCA